TTATTCATGAACATAGAAAATATTAATATTCCATATTTTAATAAACATCTTATGTCTTTTACTTTACAGATCGTAATCAACAGTAACGAATTTCTTTCGAGTGCCTTGAATTTTGTTTTCTCCTTCTTTTTCTTACTACCAAGGCATGCGACCTCCTTCTTCGATATTGAAGAAAACAAAAAGTTTTATGACAAACTCTAGTCATGACAACCAATTTAGTTATCGTTTTTAGAGGTTCGACGTAAATATTGACTGTCAGGATGGGCGTTGTTTGCAAGTTTTGTAATATGTTGATTTAAAACTAGAATTAAAAGTATATTTGTATGTCTGCCACCTGATGATACAGTTCCACACCTTGTCAATAAAAAGTTATTAGATTATCTATAGACACGACTGATAGTCGCTTTATTAATTTCACAACCAACAACTAGCTAAAGACTTTAATAATAATTAGCTTTTTATTTCGTAACTTTTATGTTGCGATCAATTTTAATAAAACATAAGTTTCCTTATAATCTCAATGTAATTGCTGCACACGAGTTGGCTTATATGAACAGTGATAAATGCTTAAAAGCTCTTGAAAGGATTTAAATGTAATTAAAATGTAAATGTCGTGCATATCGTGAATGTTTGAATAAGTAAACAATGCTCAAGTCGATATTGCACAAAACATGTTAACCAGCTTGAGTTATGTCATTAATGGATCTTTTTTTTCTTCTTGATTCACATAAGTAAAGAATTGAGTAATTAAAATCGAGGAGGTTTAAGATTTTAATTTATGGAGCACTTCAACTTATCGGTTAATAGCGAAATAGAAAAAAATAATAAGCAGAGGGAATTCTTTGTTTAACATTACAATTTTATTTACTTTTTTCCTTGTTGGCAGAATAAAGCAACAAAAAAAGCTTCGATCATGTTTCAGGGTATAGCAAGTCAAGAACTAATCATTAACCAGTAAAGTAAATTCACAAGACATGATAAGAACATGAACAAGAACAAAGAAACATATAAGAGAAAATTAAACTTTTTTACATCAAAAATTTCATCGGCAGAAAAACGAGATTTCGACCTGTGGGCATTCACGATTCATCTCAAAGCAATAAGTGTTCGTAATTGATAGTCAGATGGCTGGTGCCTTCATGTTTCATTCCTTTTCTTTACATCAAATGTACATAAAACAATTCCTACCCGCATTTACAATAACATCTTTCGATAGATATTTGTTTAATTTATCTGTGAGAGTCTTCAAAATATTTTCATTAGACGAGAATGCTAAGTGAAAGGAAAATAAAGAAAAATTGCAAGCAAACACAAAAGACTTGAGATATTGTGTCGAAACGTCACGATAATATTAATTTTTATTATATGCAAGTTGATATGCGGATGAGTACGATGTATATATAATTTTATTCACTGCACATTCCACTCATAATTAATCTTTGCACATATGCATAAATAATATCTTGAGAATGGCAAATGAATTGAGATGGTGAATTCATCATCTTATCGGCCCTTGAGCAATCCGAAGAGTATACTTAATTCTACATATCCCTTTCCTATCAACAGAAGAATTTTGATTGCGATTACATCGTCTTCACTCAGTTAACGAATCAGAATAGCTTCATCTATTAAAACGTATCCGTCGATTGTTGGCAATGTGTTCAAGAAATTTATGAAAATCATTAAACCGAAAAGCATTTAATTCCCATTGATAGAAGAAAGAAACAATAAAGAACGGAGAAGAAAATTTGACAAAGAAGTTGTCAACGTGGGTGGGTGAGATTGAAGCTTTATTATGATTTCAACATTAAACGATACATCGACACTGAGCTTTTTTTTTTTAGGAAAAGACTATAATATCACTTTTCACTTAAATTACCTTCTGTGGATTATTTTTAAGTACGGTAAGGTGATGTGAAGTATGTATGCTTTGTTTTTAAAGTTTTACTGCTGCATTCTCACAAAACTTTATCAAAATAAGCAGTGCTTCATTACTTAACATCATTTCGGAATGTTCCCATTTTCATTCTCAGTTCAACTTAAAGCAGAAATCGATAATTTATAGACTTGGACTTCAATCTATCTCAGGTTTTTTAAATATTTCATTTCAAACGAAAAATCAGTGAGAGGAGAAACAAATCTTGTAGTTTTATTTCATTCTTATTTATTTGTTATTTTTCTGGACCAGTATCAAGTTTCTGTGTATGTTGAATTAAAACGAAATTTCTAACTAGATGGAATCAATCATCATGATCACTCTTCACGGATCTCTAGAGCGTCGTTTTATTTCATTTCGTGATTCGACTATGCAATAAATTCTAGTTTTTTTTTCTCTCTCTATTTAACCAAAATTTACGCCGTAAATCTGTCAAAGTATATCTTTAAATTATTCTGATATAGAAATTTTCATATTTTAGTGCTAAAGCGACTAAAAATGTTTGCTTCGTTTCATGAGGATAAGGAAAATTTATTTAAGTTGATATTTTATGGTTGCGCAATAAAAGAAATATTAGTCGAGCCTTTGATAGAAGAATATTCCCAAGATTAATCAATTAAATGAATGAAAGCTACTTGAAGATTTTATTTACTTTGATTGGCGCCTAAATCAAGATTTCTTTACATTTCAATGAACTAAATGTCATACATCAAAGTTACAAAGCAATTACAATGAACATTTCTCTTCCAACCCACAAAAGGTGTAGGTGGAAAGTTTTTATTAAGACAATCTGTTAACTTTTAAACTATGAAATTATGTGCAATAAAAAATAATTCACATTACTGATGACTAATATACTTCAACTATATTAAGCTCACAAAATCAACATTCTAGCAAAATAAAAAACTATGTCTGCATATAAAGCGAACATGGAGAAATTAGAATACACTTTAGTACTATTCAAGCGTTATGGATAATTAAATTCCACTCATAATAGTTGTTAATTGAGAGCATATGTAGATATGTAGATACTAAAAGCGAAATAGAATAATCAGCAAAAAAACTTTGATGCAATAAAAGAAATTCTTTTACAGCTCGTTTGTTGTTTTATTGTTTTCTTTCTTTCTTTATTTTTATTATTGCACCAAATCCACTCACGACGGTTTATGCTACTCTTGCATTACATTAAAGGGAAAAAAAATATTCTCGTAAGATTATTCTGTTTTTATTATGATGAATTTGTGCGGAGAACCACAGCTTTGTAAGAAGAAGAATCGCATGCGGACGAATCAAAATCGAAAGAGCTGAATGAGTGAAGTAGTGGAAAAAAATATCTGATAACGGAAATTGAACTGAATATAAATTGAATAATGCATGGGGAGCTGTAAAACACATGCACAACACATGCTGCTTGCTTTTTTCCGCTTACTCTCATGTTGAGGCTAAGAGGAGTTGCTTATTTTATTGCACTTTATCCAATAAAGTCAAATTAATATTCAAATTTTCGATGCCAAACATGGCGATTTATGGAGCATGAAAAAGTTTTTATTGAAAACTTATCTGATTGTGCTTCGTGACAATATGAATGCAGTTTGGTAGAATCAAAGTTGGTTGACCTTCTATCACTCACCTAGAAGTAAAGGAAAAATATTTCAAGAATTTATTAAAAAGTTTCAGCACAAAATCAGTCGTAAAATTTTTTTTTTCTCTCTCAAAGCCTAAAAATTGCCTTACGAATTTTTCTACACCAATATAATTAAAATTTGGTCTCATAAAATCATCTTTTGCTCAGTGGAGAGTAAGAAATCGCCATTGAGTCATTGGAACATGAAAAGTCACTTGACTCGATCCATCCCTGATCGTACCTAAAGCACCACATCAGAAATACGAAAAATATAAATACAATGATGATCATAAAAATATTATTTACGATCAATATATTTCTTCTCAAAAAAAAAAGCGCAAAAAAAAATTCAAGTCTGTACCCCCTCGCGAAGCAACTTGTTTGTTGCTGATTCATGTTTCAGAGGCTCGCAAAACGAAATTTTACATATTGTCGAATATCGACGACCGAAATTGTTACTTTTGACCGACGTTTTATTGTTCTTCCACATTTCAACATGCATACTGCGGTAAAATCTTTCCGCTGTCCCGCGAAAACTCTTCAACATATTTTAAAATTATGTACAACTTTTGCAACTCAATAAATATTTTTATGATCTCAGTCTTTCAATCTACATAACACATTTAATCCATTTACGTAGTCATACGTTTCGAGAGAGATATTCGCTCTTCTTTGTGCCCACAAGGCTCAGTGGTTATTGTTATTTATATTTAAGAAGAATAACAGAAATCAACTTGTTAGCAGCGATTGGTGTTTTTCTTTTTTTTATTTATGAAAAGAAGTTTGACAGTTAAGTGAAGAAATATTATATTTAATGCTTTCGATGAATCTATTTCGTCAGCATTAAACTGAAAATTAAACAATAATGTCTAATACCTAACCATTTGTTCCAACATCGGCAGTCATTATCTTTTATAGTCAATCGTTTCGATATTGTGCAAGATTTTGCAATCAAGTTACAAACAATAAAAAGAGATCGAAGGAATCTAATTATAATGAGAAACATAAATATTGAGCAAGTTGATACATTTAAATATACAAGCTTCAAACTTGATTTACATGAAGCATTTTTGGGTGAAAATCTCATAAATTATTCCCGAAATTTGACGCTTTTTACTCAAATTTCATTCACTGAATAATAATTTCTTCTTGTCGAAAACGCCACTAGGCAGCATTGGCATCAAACGCCACTCCCAGTTTTTATATTTCAGTCAAGTTACTTCTCGCTTGGTTCCATGAAATCTTAAAAATATTGAAAGAGAAAAGGAAAGAGAGTGAGTGAGTGAGAGAGCTTTAAACTTCTGTCAGATAACTAATAATTTTAGAAAATTGTTTGCGAAAGGCTTTGAAAATCCTGAGATGCAAATGGTTCGAGGGGATTGTTTTTGAGAAGAGAAGAAGATTCTTCATTTCTTTATGACATAAAATTGGAAGTTTGAAATGCTACTTGAAGGCATCAAAATATATTTGAAGAACGTGGGATCATCATCAGTTAAAGCTGAGAATAATGAAAAGTTCATGGCTGATGGTATTCTGCGTTACCATCGCTCGTAACAATTATTAAATCAGTTTATAAAGAATTAATTTATTGACATATCTCTGCAAACTTTTTTTAATTTTATGATGACTAATCTCAGATGAAAATCCTGAAACTTTATTTCATCAACTGTCGCTCAAATTTATGAAAATATCAAAGAAAAAAATAAATGAAAACACAATCAAAATAGTCGCAAAGTGTTGTAACTCATTTCGAACTCTCATAAAATTTAAAATTTTGAAACTTTTAAGTTAAAACAAACGTCGTATAAATAAGCTGTTGTAAACATGAGATTCTGTGGATTCTTTTTCTTTCTCTTCTTGCTCCCCGAGATTAGCATATTTGAAAGCTTTTAAACTGGGAAAAGTTCAACAACCGGGGAATAGCCAAATTGACACTAAAAAGACTTCTTTTTTCACTCGCGAGTCTCGAGCCTTTTAGAAGGAAAAGAATGCTTAAGTTCAATATAATATAATATAATTTATTTTTTATTAAATGTCTATTTAAGAAATGGTTTTAATTTGCATAAAATTCTTATTTCTATTCACAGACAAGGTGTAGAGGAATATGATTGTCGGTTTTTTGGCGATAATGCTTTTCTTTGCTGACATTCGTTATCACACTTGATGAAAAAAGTATGTTGAGATAATTCGCTATGAATTATCACGAGTGAAAAGGCATAAATTATCGATTGACGTTATTTACGTCTACTAAATACCTAGCAGAGAATCAAAGATTAAAACTGCAAATGACCGACTTAAGCCATGTAACAATGAACTTTTTTGTTCTTCTTTACAAAATGAAACAACATTTTACACACCCTAAAGTGAGAAACCGAGAAACAAAAGCATTCGCATTGCCATTTTCAAGGATAGCATTGCAGCTTTTTTATTTATATTTTAATTCAATTTTAATTTGATATCATCTCACCATATAAATATTAAACAAAGCTGGAGAGTTGAGAAACAAAATGTTATTCTCTGCAATTTTAACGTTTTTATAACGCTTCCTTACTTGTTTTGATTTTCATTTTCGATACCTCATTATTTATACATATCTAAAGCTTTTAGTCTTTAACTTTTTACGAACGTTGCAAGAATTTGAGTTTGTCTTGATAAACATTTGAACGGTTACTTTGAGTAAGTTAAACAACATTTATTTAGAACGTCTCAGAAGCACTCTGACATAAATATTCATTTATGTGAATGAAAATATTTTGCATAAGTCGAATCATTCATACATATCTTCATTTATAATACGAGACCGGTGTACGATGAATGATATAAAAATTAAAAATGGCCTCTTGTTAGATACAATGTTTCATTCTAATAAATTATTAGGAATAAAACAGAATTCCTGTCAGAATCAAAACCTTAACATGTTAGAAACTTTACTTTTTTATTCTCTTCTCCTTCTTTTCCACTCCAATGCCTTCTTCATTTTTGTTAATGAAACTGTTCTCGGAAAGCATTTTAATAAGAATCTTCTTCGCTTTCTCGAACAGAATTATTTCAGCTTGCAAACATTACACACAAAAACGAAGGAGAGAATTGGGAATTTTAAAGATGGCGTATTAATGGCGACACTTTGCGGTTTCATGTGCATTTTAGATATGAATTTATTCATTGGTTTATTATTCATTAGCAGTTGATTAAAAGTAAAACGTACGATTTCCTTATTTTCTAAATAAAAATTGAGATTGATATCTTTTACAAATTCATTACTTCCGCACTTACTTTACCCTTAAACAATACGCCATTCTTACAGTTATTAATGTGTATTGATCACAATTAGTTTATTGCATTTATATAAATTATTACATGTTCAGCTATCATTAAATTTGCATATTTTATATTTTTTGTTATTTATTGAACAACGATTCAATTCAAAGCATAAAAGATTAATTTTTTTCGATTTCTGGTTGCAAAGGCAATCAATGGGGATGGGAAAGAGCGCAACAATGTATGTAATGTGGATTAAAACGAAGAGTCTCAGATTCGATCGTTGTCGTATGAATGACTTAAATGATCATTAAATTAAATTGAACTTTGATTGATATTCCTTTAAAGTTTCTTTAAGAAAAACAACAACAAAATCTTCTTTCTTGCTTCGTTCATCAACAAACTTATCAATATGATTGATGAAAAGTATCTGCCGACTATTAATGCAGCTTTTAAGCAAATTTATGAACTGCAAATCCCTTGCATCGTTGTTTCATTCTTCGTTAATCTGTTTCATCGATAATTAATATTTAATTTATGTTTTTAAACATTGCAGCCTTCTTTCTCGCCTTTTTCCTTTTATTTTGTTTTTCGCATATTTTTCAACATTTTTTCTTACATTTTTTGTACGGGCTCAGTGATAAAAAGGTCGAAAAGTTATGTTCGTATAAGAAACGAAATATGTTCAAGTCTTCTTGATAATTCCGGTAGCTGACGAAGCTTTCCAATGGGTGGGTGAATTTAAATTAATGGAATATCTATAATTGATTTTTCTTTTTTGTCTTCTCCAACTTTATGGTTCGAAATGAAAAAAGCTTCTAAGGAAGAAAAGAACATTTCGAGATAAATCGAAAATCTTGTTTGTTTTCTCATGACTTGTCGCTTACATTCAACTTTATATTTCTTTTTTTTTGTCTTTGGGCATATCATCGTCTTAAAATTTTTATATTATTTTTTTGTGTCTTTTCGAAATAAATGTTTGGTGACGCGCACGGTTTGCGCAGTGTGTTACGATAGCGCTTCTTGTTTCATGTCATTAGAAGCAAAGCTCAGCTTAAGAAAGAAGAGAGAAGAGGAAAATAAAACATCAAAGATAAATGGCTCGATGAATGATTGCCGTAATATAATTTCTAAATCGAATATCATTTACATAGGAAATTCTTCTTTGGTCGATAGTCGTATTCTTCACATTTCTCTAAGATTTGTCGTTTGGCGACCACGAAATAAATTTGACATGGTTCACATTAGTTTTTTGATAAATCGCTGGTAATTATAGCCAAATTAATAGATTAACGACGACCAGGGATTGTGAGAAGAAAAGTTGTTAAAGCGAATCGAGTGGACAACAACAACAAACATGAAAAAAATTATAAATTTATATGGTTCGCATTGACGTTCTTGCGTTTGAGAATGTTCGAAAACAAGAGAACTACGTAAAAGGAGAAAAAATAAGAAAATTATCTAAAGACATTTCTACTTAATGTTTCATTGGAATTAATTAATAAAACTTAAAACCAAAGAGAGCTGACAATGAAAACGACAAACATTCTTTTTGGGACCTGATTTCGATTGAGTCTTTTTTATTTTATTTTTTTGAGTGAATGCAAGGAAATGTTTTGTCGCATAAATCATAAAAATGCCAAAAATTAACGAACAAAACAATTCCTGAAATACTTTTGACAATTTCTCAACATCCTTCCATGGATGTTATTTTGTTTCATTTCATAAGAAAATCATTAAAAGCATCGCTAGACCTTCAAACACCGAAACGCGTTTTGAACTTCTTCTAATGTTGTTTCCACGATTTTATGTTGAAGTAAAAAATTAACAAAATTCATAAACGATGTTTAACGAAAACATTTATCGAAAAAGTTTAGAATGGAGACAGAGAACGATAAAGAGTCGCTGAACATGACAAAAGAGAAGAAAAAGTTGCTGAGAATCAGAACAGAAGCCCACGGCGGAATGTCATGACATTAAAACTTCTCTTTTTTTGGGGAAAATATGTGGTCCGATGGAAAGAAGTAGCGTTACACGATCGTTTTCATAATATTCTTCATCTTATGCTCCTTACGTGACAATTTTTTTTATTCTACAACTGGAACGACGCTTCAGACAATGAGAAAAGAAAAAACAAAAAATATAAAAAATTACCAAATTAATTTAATGAGAGGAGTAAGAAATTAATAAAACCAGAGTCATCTTTGATGATTGAGAAATACATTTTCTCGACGAAATTTCATTTTACGTGGCTTAAAGTAAAACATGTCTTCTTGTATATTTTAAGTCATAATTACTTTATCACATTTCAAACCAGTCAAAAATTAATGAAGTCAAAGTGTTCAGATATTCTTTAATCGTCGTTTGTTGGAAGATTTTTCAAAAGTTTTGCGAAAACCGCGATAGCAAAATCTCATAAGTATTTAATAAGATGAATGTTGGCGTTAAAACCAGGACAAGACCATCATCAGAAAATTGTGATTTCATCAGCTTAAAAATATTGAGTTTCTCACCAGTAAAGCCAATAATCTTTAGATAATTTAAGAATGAAAAATTGATAGCGAAATTGTTGGAATTTTTAAAACTAATAAATTTGCAGACTAAGCGCCTTCTTGGAATCAAGAAAAGGTGTCACATTGGCATTGTCGGTTGGAAGTATTATTAAAAATAATATTAATTCGTTCCGAAGCACAAAAAAAAAACAGCAATAAAATGAATCACCATTTCTGACGCAATTGATAAAATTAAACAATTTTTTTATAAAGAAAATATAAATAAAGAGATCGATTGTTTATAGAGAAATTAATCGATGATTCTAAATTGATTCCGACAACAATGTCCAATTAAACAACAATCTAATAAAAGATAATCATCTTCAAAATGACTTAAATTAATTACTTTTCTCTATTTTTTTTCTTAAAGTTTTTCTTGCTTTCTTCTATCGAACCATATTCGCACGAAAACTTCGGCATCGGCAATTGGAAAGAAAAAATTTGAACAACAATACGATCCGTTCAACAATAAAAATTAACGAAATAGAATTCTATTTATTATTTGAAATCTGAATAAATTTATATCTTTTGATGTCGAGATTATTAATCGATTTTATATATTCTAGTAAGTCTTGTTTGAACTCAAATAAAGGTTAGAAAACTGATGATTTAGGAATTCACATTATTTTTTTATTAAAAAAAAGAACGTTTACCTATTCAAGTCATGTCAAAGGAAGAAATTCGATAAATGCGTAAGTGAGTAGGAGTGTTCAAAGTCGTACACCGACCGGATATGACTCATAAATCTATCGTCATGATGCAGAAATGTTAATCATTTCCGATGGTTGATTGAGTGTCCGTTAGTGGTTGTTAAAGATCTTTCGATATTTATTTTAAAATATTTTTCTTCCTCTGATCAAAGCAACATAAATAATGCTGTTAAACGAGAACGTTGAACATTATATTCAATAATCAAGCCATTAGTAAAAGTGGTTCAAGCATTATATTTTATATTATTAAAAATAAAGCTTTTCATAAAACACTCTCGTTTACCATCTCAAAAAGTGCACATTAAAGACTTGCAATAAGAAATAACTACGTTAGTGAGGCGAGATTACAAATTGAATAAAAGCATTTACCCAAGCATTTACTAACAAATGATTAAAGTAAGAAAACGTGCAGCATAAGCATAATTATGTGGCAAAGACTCTTCGTCGATGTTATGCGAAACAAGAATGATTGATAAGATGTTAAGCGGTCATATTGAGAAATTCTTTTCAATATTCAACTATGCATCAGAAGAAGAATATTCTGTGTATTGAAAGATATAAAAGAATAAATAAAATATTTGCTTGATCTTATTAAAAGTAGATGAAAGGACGGAGAAAATATGACAGATTAATGCATTAGGCCACCGCAATTTAATAATTTAATTCAATCGTAATGCAATGTTAAAGAAAAAGAGAAATAAAGATAGAGAAAGAGAGAGAGGTCGACTGGAATGATGATCGAGGGATGTTAAGCATCTCGTTCAACTCGCATACGTTTATTTTAATGTTAAAAAGAAACATCTTTTTAATAACATCCAACGTATTAAGAGATAAAAACCTATGCGAAAGAATCACTAATTGATAGTCTTAATGGTTTAACATTATCTCAATGCTCATTCAGGTTTCTTTCTTACCACGTTTTTTATGTCGTCGCTGTTTTCGGGATGAAATGAAATTCTTTCGCTGTTTCATCGACAATGTCTTCCCTCTCGTTATTCTTCGCATTTATGATTGTTGCTTCAATATGAAATGCGAGTCATTTCTGGTGCAAAATGACGACTTAGAGGAAAACATTCATGCAATAAACTTGTATCACAAGTTGAAGTTCTTCTTGAATTGTTGATGTGGAATTTCGTGATGAGAATGTTTTTACTGACGGATAGTTTTTTCATTTTTTAAACTCTAGAAATTTTCAAATTCTCTCCTATTCATCCTTCGAGCAATTTACTGAATATCTCTTCTTCGACTTTTCATTGCAAATTAAATATTTAAGAAATTTTTAAACTTTCCAGGGATTAGAATTCAACAAATAATGTAAAGATTTTAATTAATCAATTTTAAACTCACGCCACTGATCTTTAAAAGCCTTCAAACTTGAAGACATGCCGAGGAAAGTAATCGTTTATATATTTTTTTTCAATAAGACCAAAACATTCGCGTTTCACCTTCATTTGGGTCTCTCTTTTTTTACGTTTATTCTGTTTCAACCGTAGCCGGTATCTTCATCATATCTTTCAGACTTTGACTACACTAAAAGCGCATTAGTTTCCTTCGAAACTGTCTGATATCAAAAAAAAATATTTTTTTACTCTCTGCACAGCATTTTTTCGAACGAATTTTAAAGATTCGCTTATTAATGGTAAAGTCAAGAACTACAGGAAAGTAAACTGATAAAATGTTGAAGCATTTTGTTTTCCACTTTAAGACATCGTGTGTCTATAATCACAGCGTTTAGGATAGAGAAATGAAGAAGAAAAGAATTCCATAGAGTGAATCAGAGTCCTGTGGTGATTATTCATGATTTAAGCCTCGCACGATCACTGCCTTCAACAATGTGGAAGTGTAGAAAGCCTACTTGCAAGTTATTCGTTTTAATCCTGAATTGTTTGTTATCTTAAAACTATTTTATGTGAACATTGTCTTGAGTAAACATCTACCTATTAAAATTAAAGACGTTCGAAAAGGAAAACAATTTATTTCATTCGTTGCGGTTAATAACCACCTGAAATGAAAATAAATCTAGCATTTAAATACACGTAGGTGGTAAAACGATTTGCGAAAAATAAATCTGCATTTATACATAAGCATCGCTTCTATAGATCATTGAACAATTTATTTTTTAATGTGGAAATATGGAAATGAGATGCAAACATAATTTTATTTGTTTTCCATAATAATTGTTAATTACACAACAACTATGACTTATCCCAAGATAAGCTTCTCGCTTTGCTTCTTCTCTCCATTGTGATTAGCAAATGCCATTAATTCATGTCAATTTGTTTTAATGATTCCATTTTAAATGGAAGCGAATAAGATTTTTTACTTCATTTGATTTCTGTTTCCCAAAATCTTGTTTCAATTGAATGATGATTGTTAAAACACTTAATTGTCTAATTCACTTGACGCTTAACGTGTTTGTTGTTCAAGAAGTTTAAACTTCAAAATCTCATTGCGCCATTAAGTGAGAAATTTTTTATTCACGCTTCTTAAAAATCTTAAAATTATCTTTGAAATCGTCTTTATAAAAGTTCTACTTCTTAACTTCATCCATATGACCTTACGAATTTTACATTTTCCACTTTTTTTTTGTTATTACATACAACTCAACAAGAATAATAATTTTTCAATAATACACACTCGAAGGCATCAATCAAAAATATTTTGAATGTTCTTAATATTTCTTCTTTCATTACCGGCATTCAATTGTTCAGCGCAAGTATCAGATGGACAATGGCATGAAAGGAATAAAAAAAATCTATCTCAAGCTCATAAATTCAAATCATACGAAATTCAGTGAGAGATTCTTTTTAATTATCCACGTATTTTTCATAAATTTCTGATTACAACAATAAGAATATATTTTAGTTTTCGTCATATTCAGTTCTTCGTCTTCACGTGTTCGTTTTCGCAATACTTAGCCCATTGCATGCAAAGTAAGAAAGAAACGCGAATAACAAACAAAAGGAAAACATGAAGTTAAGCTGGAAATAAGGAGAGAACGAGTAAATGAATGTAAATTGCGAGAAGGCTCATTGAAGCACATCGGACAAGGCGAACTTGCGAGGCAACTCTTTGGCCCAATTGCAAATATAAATCATGGAAACTTTGATGGCTCATATAAATATTGTTAAATATTAATTTTCTTATCCTTATTTTGCATTTTTATTCTACAGCAACTCGCACAATTCGAGACACATGTTCAAAACGCTTTGAATACTTTCTGTGAAACGCAATGCTATATATCACCATTGTGAGGTCCCATCAAATCCATATTCATGCTTTTAATTCTTTTCCAGAAACACAATTTAAATGTCCATAAGCAAGCGACAATTGATAGCTTTGCCTTGAATTGCTTCATTTCGTAGCGCAAAACTCTCCAATTTCATTACTCACAAATTGCATTTTAACTACCTATTTCTTGAATTTCTTAAATTTCATGGTCGTGTCGCATCTCTTGAGATTTCTTTTCATCTTGCAATTAGTTTCATCTTTCATAGCAATGTTAATTTCACAAATTTTCATGCTTTTGAATTTCTGATCATGGTAAAAATTGTTGCAAATTTCAAAGAAAAGTTATGACAGAAGATGCAAAATGAATATTTATTTAATTTAATTGTTGATGCAACTTCTTTGGAATCTTTGGAAATTGAATTATAAAATCATGCAAAGCATTCGCAACATTCTTCAATTTCTTGAACTACCCCCACAGAACGTATTAATTGGCATATTGCATGATAAAATAGATAATGAAATGAAATATTTGCAAAATAAATGCTTTTTGTTCATGTCAACGAAGGGAAAAAGAAAACTTTTATGAAACAAAACGGAATGAAAAAAAATTGCATTTGGGCAAAAAGTTCGCTCTTGTGCGTTCTGATTCATTCGAGATTGAACGTTCCGCACACAACATTCAAAACAGAATAATTCCATTTAAAAAACAATTTTCACATCTCGTGTCCCTTTGAAAAGAGAAGTTTGGGAGGAAGCGAAGGCATTTCTTGGTGAAAGCGATTCAAAATTCAATCGAACGATAAGTAAGCCAAATGAGAAGCAACTGAAATGAAATTGTTTTGTTAATTATAAATGCTTTTTTATGGTTCAACATCAGTTCCTTAATCGTCAAATTTATTATTTCATACAATTTGCCATTTATGGATTCATACGCGACTCATCACATGCTCGCAAAATGGCAACAAAATTTTGACTTCTCGATACGTTTCTTCATTTGTTCTGTAAACGAAGCCACTCGAGTTGCATAAAACCACAACTTTAGCAAACAGAAATGTGTAGGATGCTTGTTTGGCATAGTTTTGTACTCGAAGATTAAGCACTTTTGCAGTCGTCGTTCGGTGAATTCTCTGATATTTTGTGTGGTGTGTACAAAATGAAATATAAAAATTTTTTTCGCACAAAGCAACATACAATTTTCAATTATAACATAATTATTATCAAACAGACTCTCGCGATGCCTTCCTTCACTCCCGCTTGTGAATTACACAAAGAGAAGAAAATATAAATTATATTAAATTGATTTTCTTACTTTGCTGTGGCAATCTACGCGGCTTGATGCATTTCAGTCGAATAAAATGTTGTAAACACTTTATACATGAAGCGACGTGGATGAAAAGAAAAGGAAAAGTTTTCATTTTCCATCAAATTTAATAATTTCTGCTTTTGCATTCATAAGATGATTGCAATTTATATGATTTCAGGTTGGCACGGCCTGTTATTGTTCAATGTGCGATGCATTAAGCATTACTGTTAAGTGCTTGTTCTCTAGAATCTTACAGATGTTCTCATGAAACGAAGTAGAAGAAAAGAAAAGTGAATTATGGAAACTTGGAGGCGTCGCTTTGAGACTTCTTTCGCTTGCTAATAATAAATGTTTTGTGGGAACATTTATTTCTGAACATCATGTCATGCATTTCGATTCATGTTTCAAACTCTTGCGAGTAGATTGTGCAATCATCACTCCAGTATTTACATTTACTTTATATTTATTACAAATCGTTGTTAAATTACATTCAATTGACCAGATTTCATTCCTTTATCATGTTGTATATTAAATAAATAATTCATATATGTAGCTTTCAAAAACGATATAGAAACTGAATTTGTAACATTTCATTTAAATTTTAAATCCATAAATCCTTAGCTCGTTAAACGATGATGATGATGATGATGAAAAAAAGAAAAATCTTGCAATATTTACAATTTCAATAATTCATATTAATATGTGTCAGCTTTCTTCAAGCAAAATCAACTTTCATCATTAACATTGTCAATTGCTGTTTTTATTTAAGAAGCAAACCAAGGAAACTGAAGTCGAAAAAGATGAAATTAAATTACTAAAATCATTGAACGGATGCATCAACTAATTATATATCCAAAATGCATATCAAAAGCGGGACTGTATCAAACCAACAAAAAAAGTTAAATAAGATTCACCAAAGGAGAGAGAAGGAAAATTGTTTCAACTCTTTGCATATATTTGCATAAAATTAGAATATCGTTTTGAATGCCAACAAAATGAATTCAATTTATCAGCACCGACACTTGCCTGTGAAGTTATTTGAGTGAGTTTCGGTTAAGAAAAAGATTTTTCTTTTTCAAATCATGTGAGAAGAATTTAGCGATGTTGATCAAAGATGGAAGAAAGGCAATCAACTTTTAAATCTTAACAAAGTGATAAAGTTGTTTTAGTCATTGAGTTGATTTAATCATTCGTAAATCTTAAAATCGTTTTTATCTCACAATCTTTCATTATTTATAGTTATGTACGCATCGCTATAAAATTATATTTTATTTGTTTCCACAACATGCCAAAAAAAAGTTGCCGCCAACGCGGATTTATCTATTCAACCTACGCATGTTTGTAAGTCTTAACACCATCTCTAGGCTAACAATATCAGCATCAAAGTGAATTGAAATCAGCACGAGAAGGAGAAAAGTTGAAGATTGTTATCTTCAATTCCATTTCATTCAAACATATTTCTTGTTCGTACAAGTCAATAGCACACAAACTGAATTAACTCTCAATATATTAAATTAACATGAGTCTAGAATCATTATTCTTAGACGCAGTTTCATCGACGGAAAGAAGTTGTTAAGTTGTTCTGATTCGAATTTATTAAAATTACCATCGATTCGAATGCATTGATTTGAGACAGAGAAACAGTCAAACGTGTAAATTTGAAAATCGATGTGCATATCTTTCTTGATTCTTGCTTAAGCTTCTCACAGTTGACCTTGACGACAGCGTGAAAGGTGTGCAAGACTTTTGAAAGTACATACATTAAAGTTTTCAACATCAACAAGAATTGTTTCATTAATCATATGGTTCAAGCTGAGAAAGGAAAGAAGACGATTCAAGAAATGGAAATTCAAATATTAAACGTTGTAAATAGTGAAATAAAAATTGCCGTCAATAAGCTTCGAAGTGTATAAATTAATTAACTTAATCGTCTCTAATCGCTTGAACAATTCCTTTCTCTTGACGCTTATTCGTTATATTATTTAAATCAAGATACTTTGATCTTTTTCACTATTATCTTTAAATGAAAATTTATTTATTTGTTCTTTTTCTCAACATTGTTCGTGGGTTCAACAATAATTTCAGGATTTTTATCTTGTTTTGTTGTCTAGTCTTTGCTTTTCACTTTATCTCATTCAATTGTCTACAAGTTGAAGTAATAAATTCACAACTGATTGTCAATTCTTTCCATTCATCTTACGAATCAAAAAGCTTGTTGCGAGAGAAAATCACTAATTAAATTTTTAATATTTTACGCAACGCTTTTAAAAGTTGACCATATTAAAGAGACAACATGTAAAAGTAATATAAATATTTTTTCATCGATTCCCAATGTGAAACAAAATGATACTTAAGTTAAGTTGGAGAAGAGATAGATAAGCGACATCAAGGTGGAGAATGTATGTATTTGATCAATTCCATAAATATATTTTCTAAATGGTTTTGACTTGCTTTTCTCGTTTATGATATGGAAGGACAGACAAACATAGATAAACTTGTGATTGAGAAATGATTTTATTCTTCTTTATCAGCTTGTAATGATGAGAAATTTTAATAAGCAGTCTTTATTTACTTTATCGATGACATTTTCATTACATTTAAGAATTAACAACTTTATACGTATTCGCAACGTGTATGAAAAGATATTATTGCGAATAGTTTCGAAGCGGTTTCACCACTGTCACAGAAATAAAATTGAAAATTATGAAAACCTTATCGCGATGGAAGATCGTCAAGTAATTTAAAAAAAGATGAAAATATTTTCTGATAAATATTTTCATAATAATGGATGAACACTTAAGAGAGTTGACTTACGTAAGAAATAAAATATTTTTATCTTAGATTTATACTCTAGAGAATATTATCGATTTATTGACACTTTGCATTTTATTTTTAAGTATTTTTGAGGCAAGAGTAGGAGAAACCTGAATTTGAAATGAAATTCTTAAAATTTTTTGACTTCTTATTTGCCAATCGCAGATAAATCCCGTCACTAAGCTATGGCAAGGCAAACATCATCTCTTAATCTCATGTTTTGGATCTCGATTTCACACTTAATTAACATTCGAATGCTGGGAGAAAAATTTAACGACTCGCCAGATTGACTTTCAACGAAGTCGCATAATAACTTTTTATAAACGTATCGAAATTTTCTTTAAAACTAAAGACGATCAACTCATATTGTCTCGAAACTTACTTCCAAACATTTTTTTTCCAACTCTTTCTCACTTCAAAATTCTATTTTCTTCAATTGGTTCCGACACATTCGGATTTTTTTGGGAATATTTTCTTATTTCTTCCGTCGAACGGAGACGAATGCCGATGAAATTTCTCTTCGTTTTCTTTTCTTTTCTGGGAAATCAGTCATGCGAGTAATTAAAAATAATAAAATTGATGAGTTGGCGCTTTGTAGAGACGATGATGTTTTAGTTTGAGGCTTGAGAAAAGTTCTTAAAAATTATCAACAGATGTTCGTTCACTTACCTTTGTATTTGAAGTTTTCGGCAGTCCACCAATGACAATTGCATAAACTTCTATCTCGTATGTATCGATACCATTCTCACGATCCAACTCAATAGCTGTCGATAATATTCCTAATTTGGTATCAATATCAAACAAGCGATCAACTTGTTTGCCATCACCTGTGACATTCGTCACATAATATTCGATATCTTGTCCCGCACCATTATTACGCGCTGACACAGTCAAAATACTTGTCCCGGCGGGTTCATTCTCAAAAACACTTCCCGATAAATCTTTTTGTTCAAACACTGGCCCGTCTTTTGACGAACTACTTGAGATTATTGTTATATACGCGTCACTAGATTTTCGTTCATTTTGTACTGCTTCATCAGTTGCTTTCACAGCCAACTGATATCGAGCTTCGGGATTATTTATTGTCTTCTTTAAATAGATCACACCTGAACTACGATGCAATTTAAATAATTCACTATTTCCGCTTACCATCTCGTAAGTCACGAGTCCATTTGAGCTTGAATCGGCATCGCGAGCGAACACATTCATAATCATCAGACCATCTCGACCTGATTCTACACGAATATCTTTCAATGGAAGCACAGCGGCATTCATCGACACGAAAATTGGTTCATTGTCATTAATATCTTCGACAATTACCGTAACTAACTTCTCAGCTGACAACCGTTGTGACGGAACTGATGCTTGATCAGTGGCCACCACTGTGAGTCGGAATGTATCGACTGATTCACGATCAATTTGTCGCATTGTAAAGATGACGCCTGACGATTCATTGATGCCGAAATGTCGTTGACCGAATGTTGGATCTTGACTTTGAATGGAATAAGTCACTTTACCATTAAGACCGGAATCAGGATCTTCGGCTGTTATCGTCACTATTGGTGTGTTTATTGGAATTCCTTCACGGATTTGTCTCACAATTGCAGTGTTGGGAAAGCTTGGAGCATTATCATTAGAGTCGAGAACATTAACAACAAACATTATTGTCGTTGACAATCTTGGATTTCCACCATCTGACGCTGTGATGTTTAAAGCATATGATTGCGTATCTTCATAATCCAACATTTTATGCAAATATAAAGAACCAGTAATGGGATCAATATGAAAGGTGTCGCGACGGTTACCAGCTGCAATCGAATAAGTTAATTGACTGTTAACACCTAAATCCGAATCAGTTGCACGGAATTTAATTAATTCAGTTCCAATTGGAGTTGTTTCAATGACAGATATTTTTGTATCAGTCTGAACAAACTCTGGTGCGTCGTCATTTTCATCGAGTACATCGATTGTAATTGTTGTTGTAGCACTTAATCGCTCGGTCATTGCTGCATCATGTGCAACAATTGTAAGCTTATATGATGAAAGTGTTTCACGATCGAGTGATTTGACAAGTGTCAGTTGACCTGTGGCCTCGTCAATCGCAAACTTTCCCCCGTCATTTCCATCTGAGATGAAATAAAAGACGTCACCATTGAGACCTTCATCGGCATCAAATGTATAAACTCGAACAAGTTGTGATCCAATCTGTGAACCTTCTGAAACTTGCACTTTATAAGGAGCTCGTAAGAATTGTGGTGCGTGATCGTTAACATCAGTGATGAAAATCTTTACTTTAACTTTATCTTTCAATCTCACAACTCCATTATCAGTGACCGTTGCTTCAAGTGTAATGAAATTCTGTCCCGTTGATTGGACTAAAGATTCGCGATCAAAGATATGAAGTGTTTTTATAAAACCATTTCGTGGATCAACAGTGAAGTCATTTTGAACATTCGAAAGCATGAAAATCAACTCCGCATTCCTTCCAATATCTCGATCAGTTGCTGTCAATTTTCCAACAAACGAATCAATGGGTTCATTCTCAGCAATTGTGAAGGTAAATGTGGCATTTGTAAATTGCGGATTATTGTCATTCTCATCAATAACGTGAATAATGACGGGAACTTCAGTACTTCGAGCTGGATTGCCACCGTCATTACAACTGACAGTCAACGAGTAATAGTCACGTTGTTCACGATCTAAATGACTTTTAACAAACAAGTAACCGTCAGGAAAGATTCCAAATTTGTTCTCGACATTTCCTTCAATTATCTTGTATGAAATGCGACCATTTGCACCAAGGTCAGCGTCTGAAGCTGAGAGTGCGAAAAAGCGTGAATTGACTGGCGTTGACTCTAAAAGTGATGTCTCATATGATGTGTGATCGAAGACAGGCGTATGATCGTTCACGTCTTCTATTGTTATGATGAGATTGTTCTTTGATGACAGTGGTTGATCACCACCATCAGTTGCTGTAATTTCAATATGTAGGACTGTTCCAGGGTCAACACGAATTGGGCGATTAAGATAAAGAACGCCAGTTGCTTCTGATATTCTAAATTGTTCGTCGGGATTGAAAGTCAAACTGTAAGTGACTCTTGAATTAATTCCAGCATCTTTATCTCTTGCACGAGCGAGATAAATTTCTTGACCAACAGCTGCATTTTCTGGAATGTGAATATCGTCATGATCTCTCGCAAAATTTGGTGCATTGTCATTCAAATCCAACACTGAAACATTCACTAAAGTCTTGCCATAAGCTAAACCAGCTCTCGCTACAATTGTTAATGTGTATGTCATTGTAACTTCTCGATCAATTTTTGTTGCTGTTGTGATGACACCAGAACGTTCATCAATTTTAAAATTTCCATTCGGATCACCATAAACAATTGCGTATTCAACCGAAGCTGTTGACGATGTGATTTTCGGTTTTCCAACTTCACGGCCAATCTTTTGATTGTCGCTGCCGAAATCTTCATAGATTTGAAACTCGTAATTGTCAGGTGAATCGAATTCAAGCTCTTCCAATTTAGCTTCTCGAATTATTTCAACGATTGCGTCTTTCTCCGTTCGACGATCGCCACGATCTTTTGCTGATATTTTCAACTTAAACAAAGATTTTTGTGATGATCGAAGACTTGACCGAAGACTAACAACGCCAGTCCAATTATCGACTACGAAGAGACTCTCACCACCACTTTCTAATTTGTATGTGATGATTGCATTATCACCCTCGTCACGGTCATTCGCATGAACCTTCAAGATTGATGTTCCAATTGCAGTATCGTCAGCTAAAGCAACAAAATATCTTTTTGGATAAAATTCAGGGTTGTTGTCATTCACATCTTCGACTTTAAGGAAAACTGTTGCTGTCGATGATTGTTGTGGAATTCCTTGATCTTTTGCAATCACTTGAATCTCATAATCAGAAATCATTTCACGATCAAGTTTACTTTTAATCGTTAATTGCCCAGTCAATGAGTCCAATGCAAACATATTTGGATAATTTTGTTGAACACTTGAATGAAGTTTATATGAAACACTTCCATTTGTTCCTTGATCATGATCAGCTGCGGTCAACATTGCGACTAATGTGTGTGGCTGAGTATTCTCACTTAAACTTACATTAATATGTGGTTGAGAAAATTGAGGTTTTTCGTCGTTCTCATCGAGAATTGTAACTTTAAGGTGTGTATAAGCCCACTTTGGATTGGGACCGCCATCACGAGCCGAAATGCTAAGCTCAACGCTGCCTTGAACTTCACGATCTAATGCAGACTTCGTGGTAATCAAACCAGAAACTGAATCAATCATAAACCATTGTTTGTTATTTCCCGATACAAAATCGTAATAAATTTGTGCATTGACACCAGTATCTTCGTCAGTTGCTATAATGCTTGCAACATAAGTCCCTGGCGGTGCAAGTTCACTGAGAATCGCTGAATATTCTGACTTTTCAAACACAGGTTCATGATCATTAACATCATTAACATGAATAATTAAATGTGCTGTTGCTGTTCGAGGTGGTGACCCTTTGTCAGTTGCAACAACTGTTAAATTATATTTTCCTATTTCTTCACGATCCAACACGCCATTAACACGAACAATGTCAAAGCTTGGAGTCTTATCAAGTCGAAAATGATGAAGATCATTACCAGAAATAATCTTTAAACTTGTGTCACCATTAAGACCTTCATCCATATCTTCAACTGAAACAGCAGCAACAACTGAACCATTAACAGCATTTTCATCAACAGTTGCATAACTTCCGGTTGGTGGAAAATATTGAAATCTTATTATTGGATCATGATCGTTTGTATCAACAAGATTAACTGTCACATATGTTCTTCCATCTTGACGTGGTGATCCATGATCTCTAGCAAAAACTGTAAACACACAACTCTTTGGACATCCGCCACTTGGCTTTGAAAATGTCGGACAATTTTGTTGTGGACATGAAAGTTGTTCAGTTGTTAAGATAACACCAGATTCAGGGTCGACAGTGAATTGTGTTTCAGTATCAGCGAGATAATAAGTAATCTTACTGTTATCACCTAAATCATTATCAGATGCCATGACACGTAAAACTGAAGTTCCTGGCAAGACACTTTCATTCAATGACACGATGTAATCACTGTGATCAAAGATTGGTGGATTATCATTAACATCAAGGATTGTTACATTGACTTGCAAATAACCATTCTTTGGTGGGCTGCCACCATCACGAGCAGAAATATTTAAAATGTAAAAACCTCGAGTTTCACGATCTAACTTTCCAGTTGTTTCAAGATGCAAATATGAAACATCACCACTAGGATTAGTTGTGACAGCTAAACGAAATTTATCGTCGTGATTGCCATCAACGATACGATAATCGTCAGTGACTTTATTTATTCCACTGTCCTTATCTGTTGCTGCATCAAGTAATAATCTTGTACCTTGTGCAGCACTTTCTGAGAATGAAACAGCGATGCTTGGTTCAGGAAATTCAGGTGAATTATCATTAATATCTTGGACATTGATTCGCACTTCGATTGGATATGTTGGTTGACTACTTAATATCACTAAATCATAGCGATCATTTGTAAGCACTTCACGATCTAAAATTGCATTCGTTTTTATTTCACCAGTTACAGAATCTAAAGAGAATTCTCTTGGTGGTTCATTAAATCTATAAGTGAATCCTGGCTTTGTTGGAATATAACCGACGATAGTTCCACGTGGTTCACCTTCAAGCACTTCAAACTGAACTCGCGTATCGACAGCACGTGATTGCATTACACCATCGTTTGATGAACGTCGTCGGGGAAAGATACCACCCGGACCAGGTCCCGATCCATGTGCACCAGCCACAAGTAAATGTAGTCCGGCTACAATTAGCAGCCATAAAATCTTTCTACAACTCATTTCTATTTGTTTCTAACCAATTCTTATGCGATTCGATTAAAAACTTTCTGTTTTCTTGATTTTCTTTTTCTTTTTCTCATGTAAACGTCATATCGTGTGTGAGTATCGACGTTGGTCAGGAAGCAATCAAATTAAAGATTTTCCATTCTTATGCAACATTTTCTCGTTGCATTTTTTCTTTCTTCTTTTTTCGGTTCTTTTCTCTTGCTTTGCTTTGTGACGACAACTTTCTTAGAATGTAGAAAGAGAGAGAAAAGAAATACGCGAATCGATTGATTTATGTTTCGAATTTATTCAAAATCACTTTCTCTAACGTTTGAATTATGTTTGATTTAATTGTTAGTCGTGCACATACCACGTGTTTATAATTTCCTGTTAGCACTCATTTGCTTTGCTTTCCTTTTTTTCAGTTTCTTTGTTATTCTTTCACGTTTATTATTATACACAAGTAAAAGATTTTAGACTTCTTTTTGATTACGTTTCTTCTTAAAGCAAATGTTCAATTAAATTCCACAAAAAACCTTCAGTCAGTGTCAGTGAACGAAAAGAGTTATCATAGAGTTTTGCTACACTGTCCCGTTCTCTTTTCAACTTTCTTAAACTTCCACAAAAAAAAAATCTTTCAAGTCTTTCTTTTTATTGTTGTTGTTTAAGACGTCGCTTCTTGAGTCTTCTTATGTTATTTCAAATCACAAAAATTATAAATATTAAATAAATATCATAAATAGTACACGCACACAATCAAAGTGATTTTCAAAACTGGATATTACACCAACACATTCATGAGATGGAAAAAATATTTCTCTTTGATTGTCTTCTTTTTCTCCTTTCATCCAGCTCTTAAGATTCTTTAACGTTCAAAGAATTTCTTCGCTTTTGCGCAATCTTTTCTACACACTTCAGTCGCCGGGTGCTTGGTGAAAGAAGAGATGCTTGGAAAGCGTGTTGCGTGTGTGTTGTTGAGCGAAGTCGATGATGTCGAAAGAAAGGAAAGAAAAAAAAAGATGAAAAACAAGTTGGCTGAACTTGGGAAGAGAACTTGAATGATGGTGCTCGAGTAGCCGAAAAAAAATATGATACCAAAGGAATTTCCTTCTTATGCTTCTTTTCCAAGACGGTTTTCTTCACGCGCAAAGAACTTTCAAAATATTCTTCGTTTGAAAGAATTCTTCGACACTAAAAATTTATGCACGAAACGTTTTTTTTATCTGGTTTTTCACTTCAGAGTCTCTGGTTGTTGCTGGAGGCTAGTCGAGCATTTTTTTTATGTTCTTCTACATAAAGTGCACACACAATTTATCAGAAGACGATTCCTTGCGATGGGCTTTAAAACACATTGAACAACGTTCAAATTTCTTGTTCTTTGTTTCTTTCTTTTTTCTTTTGCTGCTGCTGCTGTTACTGCTGCTGATAACAAAAGTTATTTTTTCTTCTCTTTAACTTGTTCCTCTTTAATTCGAGGTCCACGAACACACACTCGCGTTTCAATTATGTCGTGTATTTATTCTGTTCTTTCTTTTAACATCTCATCTCGTTTATTTCTGCTATCATGTTTCTCATGCACAACCACAAAATTCTTTCACTTTTTTGAGACTTTTTTTCTTTCTTTCTTCTGATAAGATTCTTTGATTTCGATTACGTTTCAAGTCACTAGTCACTAATATTCCGTGCTTGTTTTTCTCTCTTTCTGCCTTCACTGACACATTTATTTTTTTATCTTTTTTCTCGAAACTATAAACTGTTGGAAATGAAAATATTTTTTTAATTCTTTTCTTTTGGTAATATTAACACGCGGAATTTAATTTCTCTTTTTCGTTTATTATCTTTCTTACTTTTCAGCCAATTAGAAGCTGAGAAATCGACAGAAAAGAAAAATCTTTTGGATAAGTCGTCTTCACTGCACATACACTTAATTTAAGATCTGTCGTGTTCTTCTCGTTTTTTTTTCCACTCGTTGATGCACTGTGAGAAGTAAGATCTCTTTCAAATTACACGCTTTAAAGAACTAAATTAAAGCAAAGTTGTGCCAATCTTAGCCCTTCTGTGGAAGACACTGTTGGAATGAAATCTGAAACATGAAAAAAGTTTTTTTTTAATAAAAATAGTAAAGAAGCAACAATTTCATTTCTTTGTACAAAAAAAGGTTGAGAAAAGTTTTGAAATTTCTTAATACGACAATGATCTTTTGAACTTTTTCCATATTGTTTTTTTTCTTTTTAATAAAATATTAAGCATATCAGGTGTAACGAAAATGACATTTCGTTATTCGAAACAACATGGCAAACAATCCAATCGTTATATGTACGCTTAGTGTATGTTTCAGGGATTTAAATTCGAGTAAGCACATAATCTGTGATCATAGTTTTGCTCATGGTTTTATTATAAGCCTTCTGAACATTCCAAAAAAAAAGAAAAAGTAAAACACGAAACATTACGAAAATAATTATTCGACATGTAATTGAGCATTGCATTAAATTGTTTCTACTTTTTCCGCCGACTTACCGACACTACTAAGTGTTAAATTAAATATCTATTTAATTGGCATTAAACACAAATTCTACAACACCATTATGAAACTCAAAGTATGGTAACGATGTGATGATTTTAAAGCGCTCGTGCGGTTGTAAAATATTATTAAAAACTGATTTCGATATAAGCCTTTTTTTTTCTTCATTGACCTTAGTGTGAGAGGGGGAGCGAACAATATCGGTAAATGAAATTATCGGACATTAACCGATATAATATCTTTCAAATATTTTCCATTCTTTATGATTCCGGATCCGTATGTAACTATGTCAGAATGTAGTCAATCGTAAAACAATTCTAGTTTTATTATGCCGACTGTTTACTCAAGCCACCCATTTTTTTTCCTCCAATGTCTCTATCACATCTAACAAAACGAGCTTAGCAATGAGTAAAGTACTGAATGAAATGAAAACAATAAATCCAATCCGATCAAGAGAAATAAAAGCAATTTCAAAGGATTATGCAATCAAATTAAGATGCAAAAAGAGGTGAAAGAAAGTGAAGTTAACAAATCTATCACGAGACGAGTGGCAATAAATCTTTCAAAGATCAAAGATTTTGTTGAAATATAAAAACTTAACATCTGTTTGTTAGTTGAGATTTGTTTGTTTGTTGCAATGAATTATTGTGTTTTTAATGATAGATATCAAAGTTTTTCAGTCCCCATTGTGAAAGTGAAAATCATTGCTTGCGAAAACTTGAAACTGCTAAGCTTATAAAATATTTACTGAAAACAACACGACAAACTTTATTCCTAAAATGGTTGCTGAAGTGCTTTGGCGTATTAAGTTTTAAGTTATGAAAAATTTAAAGAGGTTGTCGAGAAAATAAAGGAAAAAAATCATTAATCAGTCGAACTTCATTCTAATCTTATTTACTCTGTAACATGTTTTTCTGTGCACACACAAAAAATAGAAATAAAAACGACTCGTAACGGGGTTTTGGTTCAATGAGTTCGCTGTTTATTTACTTTTCTAGCTTCAATCTTCATCAGTAATGAATTGGATGGGAGGTTGGAAGGCTCACGGGCAGAAAGCAGTAAAGATCAATGAGATGACTTAAAACGACCGTAAGGGGTTAAATTAATTTAATTTTTCCGATATAAATCTTTTGAGCCTTCAGCACTACTTCGCTTGAATCGTTTCAAAATAAATAAACTTAACAATATTAAATACCGAACTTAAAGATATTATTTTATGACATAATTTTTAATCAGTTAAATAAAATAAAATTGTGGCATGAATTGAATGCCGCAAATGACTTTTTACTTCATCTTGTGACCGCTAACTGTAAAATAATTACTCGAATATGCTTTCTTAAACTCACGAAAATATAAAGGAGAAAAAATATCTTTAATGAATTGAAAGAAATTGTGTATAACTTCACGAAAGCGCGAAACGGGAAGAGAAAGAAATTCTTTTGTATAGTTTAGACCCGAAAAATAAAATAAACTTCGGTTGATGTGTGGCTTTAAAAAAAACTGAGTGAGACCTTTTGACACCAAACTCCGCTATGTTCCCGCTTCGAGGGATCTAATTGAGAAATTTCCATTTAAAGTCTGAAATAAAAACTCTCAACGTTCACGCTTTGGGTCAATTCAAGGATCTTTAATGCGACAACTGAAAGTGTTTGCGCCTTTGAAACTTTTTTTTATGTTTCTTTCATCTATATTTAAGTTCATCGGTTGTTCGGCGCGCTTTTTGTACATTGTTGAAAATTTTCGATTTCATTGCATCTGTTTGGGATATTGATTGCGATTATTGAGAATTTCTCGTCGTTTTGTATCTTGTCGGTTAACATTTCCAATTCGAAGCGTTAATAAAGGCGCGGCGGCGCAAGATTTAAAAATCTGAAATTTTATTTTGAGATCAGAAATGTCGCGGGGATAAATTCTCGTGTACTTTCGCATTTTCCCTTTCCGTTTCACGTTTTTAATTCGGTGAATAATTCCTTAACCTTTCCTTGAACTTGCTTATGTAACATAAATGACTGTCTTGTCTTATCTCTGTTCGTTTTTTTTTCTTCTTTCTCATATATTTTCGTTTGGATTTTCTTAAGATTAAAAAGGTAAGGAAAAAATAAACGAGCTGCAGACGGTTTGAAATTGAAAGGATTGAGTATAAAAATGGGATTAGTCGTTTGAAATATTCTTGAAATATTTGCGGTTCGATGATATCACTTAAGACCTGAACACAAAAAATTCTTGTTTTCGTTCATTAAATTAAGATAGTTTGGAATTTGGTTTTCACTTTTCTTGCTTTTCATTTTTATTTATTTTCGTACCAATTTTTTTATTTATTTCTTTAAACCGATTAGTTATTTGAATATTTTGCATCATGTTTTATAATCTTTGAAAATCAATATGAAAAGCTAATTTATAAATAGAAATTGGTTTGATGATTCAATTTCCTAGTTAATTCATCATAACACCAAAAAATATTTTTCAAAAGTTTCGCAATTTCAATTGGCGAGGTGAGAAAAAATTTGAATGAACCGATAATTGGTTAACAATCGAATGCAATTTTTTCATTATTTCTTAAACACAAAATAATTTTTGTCAGATTCATAATAAAATTAATTTCGTGAAATTTCTTTTAATTATTTAAAATATTTTCAAAGATTTTTTTTGTGTTCAATTTTTATTCATCTATTTGCAATAACTAACCACTTGCACAAACGGAGCTCTTTAAGATATTTAAACTAGCTCAATTGTGTTCATTTATTGACATTGAGGTCTTGTAATGCGATTTTTTCCTTGCAAGATTCAAGCATAACGATCAGCCATATTAAACAGTTGGATCGAAGGCAATGTGATAATTTTTCATCGGTCACAAATTCGCTGCTTGCTCTGTATTGCATGTTACTGCACGAAATTGTTTTTATTGTGCATTATGCAACTAAAGGGAAACATAAAAACCCAAAGAAAAAATACAAAAGACTTCAATGAGTGATAAACAACGACGAAATATCCGCGACTTTACATTATATTTTCTTCTCTCTGGTGCGGGATATTTTTGAACATCGTAGCTTCAATTGCGCGCACGGAGATTTTCTTATACAAAAAAAAATGTCTCGAGAAACGACGAAAAATAATCGCAAACGTCGTTTTATCCGCTTTTTTTTGTCGTTACTTTTTGTTGGAATAACATTGTGCAGAGAATTATTGTGTGTAACACCGAAGTCATCCTGCGAGTTCGAGGAAACAAGACATTGGGTGAAAATCATGTTTTCAATATTTTTTGTCTTTTTTTTCTCCTTACATCAAGTCATCGAGTCAGTAACAACAAAGGCCAACATTAAATTCCATAACAAAATTGAAAATGATAATTGTCACGTTTTTGCTTAAAGAGCTCACTCTTTGCCTTCTTCACTTGCTAGGTAGTGCGCGAGCGGAGAATTTCTCGCGATTTTATTTCATTTTAAACATATAAGCCCTTTTTAATGAGCGACGGTAAAATTTTACCTTCTTCATTTCGTTTTTTTTGCATTTTTTATAAATAAACTTTGGGTAATTAATGACATTATTTCCCTGTCGTCTGCCTGAGACCGAAAAGAAGAAACAATTTTGTTCGACAAGAAACAAAATCTTACTAGGAATGGTTTCCAGATTTTAAAGTTTAAACTTTTTGTATCGCTAGAATTCGTATTAATCAAATCGATATTTAGAAGAGTTTTAAGATCATTTAAGAAATCCCACAATTCTTCATCTCAACATCACTTATAATTCATGAATCATTTTTTTTTTGAAAGTTGAACTCAGAACTAACCTTTTTGATAGATTTCTTATTAAATTCTTTCTAGTCTTTCTCGCTTAATTTTTAACGAAATATTTCTTTATATTTTCTTCTTTTATTAAATCAATAATATTTTCACAAATACACTCGTAGATCTCTTCTCTTTTGAATTTTATTTTCTTCTTGTGATGAAAGATTTTTATTCATTAAATTCTTTTATTTTTATTATTTTATAAATGAGTTTTGGTTATCCTTTTAACTCAATTAAATCCTTTTTATTTTTATTATTTATTGTTTCATAGATAAATCCGACATTTTTGAGTAATCCAATAATCGCGGAATGAAACAAAAAAAATCCTAAAGCGCGATCTGAACAATTTCGCGGTTGATGGTAAACTGAAATGTTAAAAGATTTTGTTCCTCATTTGCTCGCTCTTCAGAAACTTTTTGTTTCTCTTTTTAAGATATTTTTTTTTTTTTTGTGTTTTTCTTAATGTAAAGAAATGTTTTCTTATGGGCAAACACAAACACCTTCTCGACATCCGTCATTGCACAAGATTCGCGTGAGAGAAATAAACAAAGAGTTGTGAATGTGTTTGAAGTGGTTTGTCCGGTTTTTTATTGTTCTCAAGCACCTAACGACAAGTCTACCTGCATGATCCAAAAGAATTCTTTTCACTCATTCTAATGCTGATATTATGTAGTGTTGGTGTGGCTTTGTACAAGTTTCATCTTGTATCTCGAGCAAAGAAAGCAAACTCTGAGAGGATTTAAAATATATCATGGCATAGCATAATCGTTTCTCTCCTTCGATTTCTGCTTTCCATTTGAATTTTATGGAAGTTCGATGGAATTCCTGTCGACCAGGGTTCGAAGACAATCAATTGCTATTGTGATCGGATGATATTTATTTTTCATTGTGCTTGACGATCACCATACCAAGCATGCCTAGGCATAATGAAAAGAAGCAACATAGAAATTAAAAGCGATGAAAATGAAGGCATTGAATACTGAATTTTTATTTTTTTGCTTGATCATACTTTCGTGATAACATGAAAGATGTTTCGCACTGAATTTCTCGCATCTTTAAATCATTTTCATTTTCTCTTAACTTAAAATTGTTAAGTTTCGTATTCATAGAATTCATGAACATCTAACTAGAACTTAGTTTCATGTTAAACTGCAATTAATAGTTTTTATACGTTTTTAGATCTGATAACAAGGCGTGTGCAAGGTTGAAAATTCTATGTGCAAAGGAGAAGAGGAAATTATGTGTTGTTGATTAAACAATGTATCAAAGCGATTAATTTAATTAAATTAAAATGCTTGTGTTTGTGTTGAATCGTCGTGAATTGAATATGAAGTCAAAGAGACTCTCAAAAAGCTCGTCATGAAAGAGAGTGGAAAAAGCTTTTATGTTAAGAGACGTTGAATATCTTGGGCGAGGGGATATTAATGATTGGGAAAAAAGATTATCAAAGAAATGAACTTTGTTAATGAGTCACAATCATTTTGTAATAAGTTTTCAAAGATTTCTCGAAACTTTTCAAAAAAATATATTTTAAATATCCCCTTGATTAAAAGAGAAACATCAGCAATCTCTTCGCGAACTAACCTTCCAGTGCCACTGTTCTTTACAATGTTTTCAAGAATCTTTTTCTGTATTCACACAAAAGACAAGAATTTCCTTAAGCTTGTTTTGTGCTCTCTTAAATATTCATTGTTGGTTTATTTTTTGAGATGGTCAACTACAAACATTTTTCTTCATTTCGTGTTTCTTAGATGTTAATGTTCAAAAATTCTTTTCTTACGTCTCAGATTTTTGCTTCTTTCTCTTCGACTATTTCATCGTATGCGTTTTCTTTTTTTATTTCTTCTCCTTTATTCAGTTTAGCTGCTTAAAAGTGGCTGTTTTAAAGTGTAGCAAAACATTAATTTAGGAAAGAAAAAAAACTTTTCATTAACAATCTTTTCTCTCGTCTGCGTTATTTTTTATGATTTTATTTTTCTTTCCTTTCCTCTTTACTGTTGTTTTTTCCTTCGTTTATGCGGCTATGAAGATAAAGAACATCGTCGTATTTTGTCTTCGGCTGCTGTATTGCGCACTCTTACACTTTCGTCTTGGTAGATGTAATTAAATTTATTAAATCGAGATCGAAACTATAATTTGATAATTTTCGCCCGACTCATGAGTGAAGCTTAATTATGATCTTTGATATTATTTTATGTGTTATGTTCTTCCTTTTCATGTGAGTCGAGTCTTTGAGATTTACGATGTGCGCTTGTTCTGTTTTCTTAATCTTTTATGACGATTTTATGGTCAAGTTTAAGTAAAAGCTTAATTGCTTTACAAATCATTGGACATCCCAGTAGATTTTTCTTGAAATTCTTTGAACAGAAGTTTCTTTTTTTTAAAAAATTAATGGAAAGAAAAAACATCAAAATACTGGAGCGTTGATTCCACTGTGACTTCATTTTAAATTGAACTGTTTATAATGTCCTAAATGTTCTGAGAAATGTTGTGCTTTACTTAGAAAAAAAATTGGCTTTTGGGTATAACTGCAAAGGAAAAACATTTTTGACCACAGAAGAAGATTCGACAACATGTTGTCGCTTTCAAAGCTACAAAAACATAACAAAACTGTCTTGATACTGTTTAAATTATTGCCAATGCTAACATAATAAAAGAAAGACATAAAAAACTTCCTTAATTACATTGAGATACACAAGAAAGAACAGAAGAATATTCGACGCTATCGCATAACTGTCCGTTTATAGTTGAAACCACTTTTGACAAATGGGAACATGATTCGGTGGTGTTAGAAGGAAGAATTGTGTGTGAATTCACATTTTATGATTGTAAAATTGCTTTAACTATATATAAGAAGTGAATCTAGTGTTGTTAATGGCAACACTGTCCCTAAGTAATTATTGTTAACTATAATTATAGGATAAACGGAAAGCAATCAAATTTTAAGCATTTCTCGAATAGTTTTTTACTACATTTCTATCAATGTTTAAAAACTCAAAGCAAATACCAATAAACAAATTTAATTACTAAAATTATCACCCAATTATAATCACTTCATGCCTTGGAAACTCCATCGAAACACTAAACAGACCGAAGGTCGTAAAAATATTCGTCAAAATCACCATCATGACTTAACAAGCGTTTAAGTTTTTAATGTCATTTAAAACATTAATAAAAGAATCAAAATCTGGTATTTCATCAAATTAATGTTTCGCGATCATCATCTTTCATCTCGTCATCGTTACGAGTGCCGAATAATAACGTTGTCTGGTTGTAAACGGAATGAGACTCAACAGTCACTGCTTATGATGGAATTTAATTCTTGTTTTATTTTGTGGTCATTGAAAATAAAATTTGCGGTTCTTCATCATCTTGCTTTGACTTAAAAAAAACTAAATAAGAAAAGAAAATATATATTAAACTGGTAAAATTAATTATCAGAGCACGGAGGAAGAAAATAAAAAATAAAACTTAAATTATATCACAAAATGTCGCTATAAGATGCTGAGAATGTGCATTGTGTTGTGCAAGCGTCTTTCCTTTTTATTTCATACTTTTCGGCACAAACATCATAATGGTTCACAAACTTTGTCTTAAATATTTCATCACTCATTTTCGCAATGGTAGCATCTTTTTGCAATGCATTCAAAAGAATGTTTCTTAAATACAATTCGCTTCGCGGGTCATGTTTATGTGCGACGATTCTCTTAATGAGAGGAATGTGCTTTTTGGTTTTCACGAAGACTTTCAAGTTTTCAACAAGATTTTTGATGGCGATATGAACAAACAATTTATGATTCTTAAAGTGTAATGATGGTTGATTTTAATTTTGTTTACATTTAAGCATTATCTTTTGTTTAAAAACCACTTTAATGATCTTATGGCTCTTGCTTTCCCATGAAAATAAAAACCTAAGGATTTATATGTTAATATGATTAACAAAATTAATCTTTATACTTTAAGAACTTAATTTATTGCAACGATAACGTTTAATTGATGTGACATCAAATGTTTTGTTGATGAACGTCTTGATCCCAAAAATCACTGTAATTAACTGAAGACTATCAGTCTGTGACTTCAAATAATCTTAGGAGATTAAAAAAACTATAAAAAAATTAACCTTTTTTCGCAAACGAAGCCTTTCTGGTTGAATGGGTGGAGTTGGAAGATTTTTTGTGAAAGTAATAAAAGATTTCTGCATTCATTCATAAATGTGTTACTTTTCAGGTAGTCAATTCAGATAGTTGAAAAGTGGTCATAGTTTAACTATTGACCATATGTTCACTGATTGATGAATCTCTGACTGATCTTAAAGGTTTCAAAGGCTAAAAAAAGCAATTAAAAGTTTTAAGTTTCATATTTTGAATTTTATGGCACAATAAGTGGACAACAACGAAAGCAGCAGCTCATCTTAGGTTTCTTTTACGGTTATGCAAAGAATTAAAATTCTGTCTTTAGTTTCTTCTATGGAAATCATAAATTAAACTTAAAAGTTCTGGTTGCCCAACATGTATCATTCATAAATCTTGATGTTGAGTCCAATCATAAATATCTAAACTTGAAGAATTACTTTGATATATTTGGCTTCAATTTCATTCTGTTAAGTCGAAGGCAATGATGACAAAGAACTTGGAAAAAATTCATTTGAATAATTTATAATTTGATAGCATGTGAGATTATTTATTCATGAAATAGTGATTTAACAACAGCACCTTCAACAGCGCCTTCAAAAATATAGTTTAATGGATTTTTTAGATGTTACATTTATTGCTTGACTTTCTTCTTGTCTTCATAGCCAAAACATTGGGAATGTTTTAATCAAAACTCGATTCGTTTTTGTTTTACATTTTATGTGATTTTGATCAAGTTTTTTTCTTTTTATGGAATTGGATTCCGATTAAAAATAAATTCAAAACATTCGTGATAAAAAATTCAACTAAATAAAATTTGTTTTCGATTTCACGAGTATTAAAATTTTATGGCCTTAAAATATGACGCTAAGTGAAAACGACGACTCACGTTTATATCAATTCGAGATGAAAATAAAGTTGAAAGAATTTATTAAACAACAATAAATGTCAGGTAAATAAAATTCATAGAAAGTACAAAAAATCTGTCAAAATATAAAAAGGATGCGATCCACTCACACTTTTTTCCATCATTCATAAATCACAAACTCAAAGGCAAATAAGAAATCGTTGAAAATTGAACAAGAAAAACCTAAAAAAGGAAGAAAAAAGTGAAAAGATCTGAAAACGACGATACATCAATTTGCAATTCTTCAAATGACATTTCACAGCAATTGTTATCGATTTAGTTTCGGAGATTGATATTTCATTTCAGGAGGATTAAAATTCCTTTTATTCAATAAACGCAAGTTGAAAGAAGAAACACTTTTTTAGTGATCGATTAATAAATAATTCTGAAGTTTTATTTTCGCACGTAAAATAATTTTAAATTTATAAAATTAAAGTATCTAGATAAATTAGCGGTCATAAAATTAATTTTAATTAATTGTTAATAAACAAATTTGTCAATAACTCTGGTTCAGTTAGGTCAAGTTTATATCTTTGAATCATTTCTTGAACTTTCAATCGTCGTCTGACATGTGGTGGTTGATAAGAATCGCTATCTAAACGTTTCCTTTTCGCCATGTTATATGCAGTTTGACGAACTAAGCTGCCAATGACTCGTTTACTAACAATCATACCATCGACCAGCGGTGTAGCAAAATTAATGCGACCTTGTGGTGCTTGCAACTTCACACGAAGCAATCCCGAATTGAGGGCATGCAAGAAAATAATGTGACAATCAGCTGAACTTTGTGCGTTATTTAAATGCGATTCATCACCAATTCTTGTGTAGTTCAATAAATCATCTGTTGAAAAATAAAATAACATAATTGTTGTAACTTCCTTTGCAACATTCAATGACAATAAACATACCCGTGGGAAAAGTTAAATAATCTTCAAAAGATTCCAACCAAACCAACATAATCTTCGCACTTGGAGTCCAATTAATGATTGGTTTATTCGCTCCTGTTCGTCGTCTTGCTGGTGCTACTGGTTCACCTCTGTTTGCATTAAGATTTTCGTTATCTAACGACAAAGCTCGAGGATTTTTACTCAAAGGAACTTTCTCTGATTTCTGAAGTTCGCTGACGCTTCTTTCGTACCAAACGTCATTTGATTGACCTGCTGACAGACAAGATCCATCCGAACTATCAATGTCATTTCGATTTGAACGATTCGGAACAACAAAAGCAATTTCTGATGAAACATCTGCCCAATAAATGATTTTCTTTTCTCCATTAAAATTCATGTCACTACCAGCAGCTCCACGACCATCTCGAGATTTTCTTGGTTTCGAATTGTTAACACGCCAACTTGAATTTATGAAGCCAGTCCACCCACAATGTTCATCAACATCGACTGTTTGTCCTAATGATTGCAACATACTCCAGAAGTTAACATCCAATGATCCAATGTTGTCTTCACTCATATTCTCAACAATTTCCTGTTCCATTGATTGTCCAACGCGAACATAAAAGATGTGAACAGTGTCACATGTTCTTGGACTCATCTTGTCTAGTACATCAAGATCATTAACGAAACCATTTTTCTTTGAATCAAGGACAATCAATGATGGTGACAGTAAAGATTGTTCGTTGGCTTTTTGATGGACATTTTCACCAATCGATAAGAATCCAAAATGCGATAAAAATAAACGTGCAGCTTGAAACTCATGACAAACGTTTGGTGGCATTGATTCTTGTGCATGTCCAAGACCATCATTAGAACATTCAGTTTCAGCCCAAGAGAGTTTCTCATAAACAAGTTGCTCTTCTAACAATCTTGACAAACGTTTTGTTGTATCGATGCCAGTTTTCTGAATAATTGCATCAAGTGTTGGAATGGAATAGTCAGCAATGCAAGGTGCAACACGATCAACTGTGTCGGGAAAGAATTTCGGTTCGATTTCATGTCGCATCGGCATATCATTCATGGGGATTGGACGGCCGGGATTCACTGCATGATATTTCGTTCCTGACTTACTTCGTGGTAAATGTCTTAATTGTGCTGTCCAAGTGTGACGACCATGAGGTGTTCTCATCAGGAGTGTAACTGTTGGTTGTGGGTCTTGGTCATTCCCAAGTTGCTCATCAAGAATTGCCAGAACCGTAGAATTTTCAGTGACGAAATAACGAAACTTTTGAACAGCTTGCTCATGTGTTAAATTTCCTCCAGTATTACAATGTTTAATTAATGTAACTTCATCTAAGAGTGATGAAATTGATTGAATTCCACAAGCGTTTGGAAAGTAACCGACTTGCTCAAGAATAATTGTTAGCAATGTTTCAGCTGCATCTCGAACACGCATCGAAACAGGCTTCAACTCTTTTTCATCTTTCATTTTAATCGCTTCACCCAACTTTCCAACACTCTTTACACCAGAAATTCCAAGTTCAACAACTTCCAGCACTGTCGTCAAACTGTCTTTGTCTTGAAGAAGAAATGGATGTTGCATCAACCATACAGCAGTACATTGAAAAGCAGCAACAATTGTACTGTGAAGATCTTTACTGTGACATGGTGGTGGACGGGAACATTGATAGCAAATATAATCACAAATCCATTTAACTGCTCGCTTGCATTCCAATGCGTCTGTTTTAGAATGAGAAAAAAAAATTAAAAAATCAAATCTATTACGTCAAAATTTACGTGAAAAAATTATGCTATGTTAACGTAAGAAAGGATTTGGACTGAGAGTAGGATTAAGAGTAAGATTAAATTATTTACCAGTTTTCTTCCTCGCTGCTTACAATAAAATTATTCTTTTTGAATAACTAATGTTTCTTGCAAATTATTAATAAAATTCTCACCTGATTCTTTAATATTCATGCGAGCTAAGCCTGAAAGAAGTTCTAAAGCTGCCAATGAGACATTTAAATCAGTTTTCCAGGAAGAAATTAGACGATGGCAACTTAGGTATGTTGCTCGGACGAATAATGCGTGGGCGTTATCTGTGAAATTAAAAAAAATGATAACTGCTTTCACAAAATTTCATTTAAATTGAAGGAAAAATTTTAAAGCAAATATTAAACTCAGAAATTATGGAGAAAATGATTTTTTTTTTTCAAATTTTTATGTTACTAAGCTTTACCATAAGCACCCGCTTCAAGATCTTCAGGCATCAAATCATCAGACATCAAACTCGTTGGTTCATTGCTGACAGTAGCAGTGCTTGAGTTTCCATAACTTGAATTTGAAGCACCACTAGCTACTGAATAAGCACTACGTTCAGAACAAGCTGATGGGGAAAAGTTGATATTTTTCGAGCCAAATTGATTTTGTTTTTGATGAAGGAATAAAGGATGTGATTGATGTCAATATTGTGAAAAATATAAATAAATAAATAAGCAAATGTCAATCAAATTTAAAAAACAATAAAAGAAAAGGAAAATTTAAATCTAAGTGATAAAAATTGAAATTGAATTTTTAAAGATTTATCTCACCAGAACTCAGTAAGTTTGTTTCACGAGCCGATGTTGAATGGCTGTCAGATGCTCCACTATCAAATTCTTCATATAATACTGAATCTTGAACACAAAGCAAAAGACCACCAAGCAGCATGTGCGTGTTTTGTGAATCAGTTTCAACTTGCAACGCACTCATCATGACATTAATAAGTCGTGATTTAAGTTGACCAAATGATATGACTCTGTAAAGATAAAAACTTTTTCTTTTTATGCTTTTAATAAGAATCAGTTGCACTTACTTGTCACCAGCACCTCCAGTTATATCACGAATCGGTAGCGATTGAAAGTGTAAAGGCAATGCGAGTATCGAGAGAAGAATTTGAATCGATGCACGTCTCAGGTCAGTTTTATTGAAGATTAAATTATGAGATTTAATTTTTAAATCTTTTTCAGGCAACACCAATTCAAGAGCTGTGATGTAATGTGGCAATAACACCATAACTCCATCAAGATCGAGACGAAAAATATCAGATGAATTGAAGAGAATACTTGCAAGTGTTTCTTCAACTTCTTTATTTTTCTCATTAACTTTCAAGCCTTGTTGAAGTGCCAAGTAAAATCTCGCAAGATAAACTGGAAGAATTTCTTCATTTGTCTTCTTAGCACAGAAGATTCGACACAAAGCTCCAATAGATTCAGCTTTTCCTGATTCGTACTTATCGATTGTAAGTCCATTCGGCATTTCAGACTCAAGTGACGAAGGTTGAGAAATTGAAAGTCCACGTTTTTGATCAATAATCATTGAACTTGGACGTCGACTGGCTTCAGTTGCTTGTTCTGAAAATTACTTTCATTAATCATAATTTTATCTCAGTCGAATGTTTTTACTTCTCAGGGATTGCAACCACATATCGGAACCAATATGAGCGGCATCAAACAACCATTCACCGAATAAATGAAGAATGCTGTTGCATTTAGGACGCGATGATGCAAGCGTCGAACGATTCTCATTCGAAATCGATAAAATTGATGTCAAACTTCCAGCTGATGGCGGCCCTGAATTCGGTCCCATAACTGTACTAATACTCGTTGAACGACTACTAGTTAAACTGATAAGCGAACCCTTTGAAAGGCCTGCGTTTGTAGCATAAAAAAAAAGTTTAATGGAGGCGTAATTCTCATAGAAGCATCGCTAGTGGTGAAAGCTCGGAATTCGCAGGAATTTAATTTTATAATTCAAAACGTTTCGACTCCCGATATTTGATTAACGCTTACACCACTTTTAAATGCTTCCAACTCTACAATAATCTAACTCAAAAATTGTAAGCAAATCTAATTGTGCAATTGTGAAATGAAGATTAATTTTTGTTAAAAACTAAAAAATTACTATTTCAATTATATATTAAATACGGTTCTGTGCAAAAACTAAATCCAATTCTAGTGCCAAAATATGAAAATCATATCAAAATTGCTAAGTAATCAAACAAGAGAATTATATTAACAACCCTTCGAATGAGATTGTGATGGCGCTACTGAGAAACTCTTTGCAAGACGTCTTTGTAATGGTGGAGTTGGTGACGACTGCTGATGATGATCTGATGTCATCATAAGTACGCCATCACCTGATAAGTTTCTACTCCCAACACCAACTGAATTATTATTACTACTAGAGCTTAAAGATTGTTCAGCACCAGCGCTTCGTGTCAAAGCTGAGCCACCAGAATGACGCTGTTGAGCGCCGGATGTGTTAGATTGATTAGTTGTGCTGAGTGTGTTGTCAATGATTATTCCTTGTTCCCAAACAACTGGTTGGAAAATACCTGAGAAAAGTTTAATAAATTTTATATTATTTTATACATTTTGAGAGCTTAAACTATCATTCCGAAGAGATGGAAAATGACTTCGATCGACATTTTACCTAAAAATGCATCAACTTGACTCGCAACTCCTTTCATCGCTTTCAGAAAAATTTGTGGTAGCATCAACAAACAAGGATGTTGATGAGGTTCAATTGAATCGTCACGAAGCAAAATGTACTGCATAAATTGTGGTGTATGACTGATCACTTGTGGACAACAAAGGGCTATTGGTGATCCAATCATTCTTAAGAATCGATACCAGGATTGTGCAATGCAATCATTTGTCATTTCTTGTGGAATCAATTGGTTGTCTTCGTCAGCTGAAAAGATAATCTAGTTGAATGATCCACTAAGTTCAAAAAATAAAAAGAAAACTCACGAATCTTCAACTCAGGAAATGACGATCCATAAGTGAAATCTAAGAGTCTTGCTGTCAATGCTATATTTACTCGATTCCATTGTTCAACAAGTGCTATTCGATGACGCCAACTGGCGCAAGATTCTTGAAAAGTCTTCCACAATGAAGGTGATGGAAAACATTTGACGCATGCCAACAACCAAACTTCAAACAAAACTGATAAGACACGTTCACAAAGCTGATCACCCACATCATCCTTAACCGTTGGTGGCGATAACAAAACTTGATTAATTGCAAGAAGAAAGAGCAGTAATGACTCCCATGTTTCTCTTGTTAATACTTGAGAGTTTTGTGCGACATTTTGAAGAGTTCGTAATACACGATGACATAAAACAGTTTGACGATTGATTACATCAATTCCTGTGAAATTCACACAAATGACGATGAATAAATTGATCATATTGAAAAGTGAAAAATAAAAAGCAGAGCATGTATGTTAGTTGGTTACATGCTGGAAATAAAAGCAATTTAATTAATATGAACTGGTATGTACCTAAATCCTCTTGATACAAAAATGGCCAGACTTGTAAATACAACAAGAAGAGAAATAAAAAACACAGTTTACATAACATTTATGTACACGAAGAAGGTGAAATAACGTGATTTGTGCGTGGATGGAATGGAATTGTGAGTGAACATGAAGAAAAAAATACAAATAAATAAATTATTAATAAAAATCACAACAAAAATTGTTCACAAACGTGCAACTGTGAATTAAGGAAGAGTTAAAAATCAAGTTTAACAAAACAAAAAGAAACAACTAAACACTTCACAACCAGCCATTTAAATTACCTTCGCCTTGTCTGGGAACGAAGAGATTATGTAGGTGGCTTATTATCTTATGAGTATAGACGTTTGGATCATCGATGATGGGTTTGGGAACTGAAACTTTTGGGGATGGAAGAAGACAAGTTAACCACTCGCAGTAAACATTGACGCAATCTTTGATAGTCTCGTGATCAGCTAGAGGCAGAGATAAACCAAAGCAAATGACATCCATACACCAAGCAACTTCTTGATCAGTTTGAAATGGACTTGGTTCTGGCTTTTGAGTAATCCCAAGGTTACCAGAAAGTTGCTTTACTAAAGCTGAAGTCACATCTCGCGAAATTAAAGCATTAAACTTGTTTAAGGTTGACAGCTGTTGCGATCCATTGACGTTTGATGTTATTTGTGGTGTTAATGAGCTCCATTCTGTATACATTCTAATATTTTTCTCATAAATTTTCACAAATTTACAGTTATTTTCTTATTTTAAATAAATATCGATAAAATTTAAACTTTTAACTTTTAAAAATTATTCTTCATGACGAATAGTTAAGTTTTATACTACATTTAACACAAATAATTCAAGAAAATGGTTTCAAAACTAGTTTAAATGTATTTTTAAATACTTTTGATTCACTTGCGAAAAAAATTTAATTGCACAACTTCGAAAGAGAGACAGAGAAGGAAATATAACTTTTCGGACAAGAAAGACAAAAATTATATTTTTTCAAAATTATAAATGAAAATTACAATGATTCTTACCGGTTTCATCTTCAATACTTTCTTTCACTTAGATCGAATTCTATGAAGATAAATTTTACAGATATGAAGATAAAATGACAATAGTTTTTCATGAATATATTAAAAAAAAATTCTGTCAGAATTATAATTTGTTCACACGGGTTTTTGTTTATGATGTCTCGAGATAATTGCTCGTGCCCCGACGGTTCGCGCGGATTTGACCTTCCATACAAAATGCACAGAAAAAGTTTCTCCGTGGATGAGAATTCTCCGTGGATGATAATCGATCGTAGCGCCGCCACTGAAACGTTCTCGGACAAAAGATCAATCAAAACTTTTTAAAGTTTCTAGTATTAAAATTTTCTTTATTTGTGTTTATTTACTTCACGGATTAAGACGTACATAAATCGCGCTACTGATCATATGTTAAATCATAAAATGATTTGCAGTAGAAAGTATACTGTAATCATAACTTTAAGAAAAAGCGTTTATATGGATTGAATGAGAACGAAAGTGAAAAATTATTCATAAATAGTTAATAATTACGGTCAGAAGTGATGTAATATTCGTTTCGTTTTAAGAAACCTATTTAAGGCCATTTTTAAGGCCTCAAAAAATATATTCAGTTTATGATAAATCACCTTAAAGGAAGAAAAAAATACTTTAAATCAACATCATTTCTTCGCAACAAGTTTACATTGATTCAAATTTTGAAGCCAATGATGCAAATGCCTATTTTGGGATTTATTTAAATCTAAATAAAAGAATATAAAACGGAAATAATTTTTGGCATTCGATGAATTTTTTAGAGCACATGAAATCATTTCCATTTCATTTCTCAAACACAAAGTTCAGATAGTCTGTGAGGAAATTGTAATAGTGACCGTCGATCATAAAATCGAAAAGAAAAAGCAAATCTTTGACCTCGCAAGGAGATAAAGTGATAACAAGTTTTTATTTGTGTGCAGTATTCATCTCTAATTCAGTCAATTTATAAAATTTCGAAACCATCAACATTAAAACGATGTCAACATTAAACGTAAAACAGGTTCGTAGACACTGTACAAGACAACTTCATTGCATTTTGCTCGTCCTTGAATTGTATTCGTTGATTTGTAATTCAAAAGTTAGCAGATACATTATTAAGTCTGTGACTTAGAGGAAATAAAAACTTGAAAGAAACTAACGTCAAGGTGAAATGAAATAAAACTAATCTTTTGATTAGTATATTGACTTGTCGTTTAATCTCTCAGAGTGAAGCCTTATCGAATGATACTAATTATCTACTCAAAATTACGACAACTTAGCAACTTAAAAATATTCAACGAAGCTTGAAGCATGAAACGTGCAATATGTATTTGATCGTAAATTTTAACTTTTTTTTCCTATTTTACAACGTGAGAATATGTATTTATTTTTATAAGCTAAATTTAGCGCAGAAATATTTTTCGTGATGCTTCAGTGTAAGAAAGTTTTTAAATAAACTCGTAAATTATCTCCGATTATTTGTTCTACTCCTTTTTTCATAATTCATGAAGGTCAACAAAACAAAAATTGCGTTTTCATTAGCGACGACAGACATTTATTTAAAGAGGCCAACTGAATAAATTATTACGACGCACGTTTACGTCACTTGACGCGCCTCTCACAATCTTCACGCGAAAATCTAATTGCTGTTTTTCTTTTCATTCACGCGATTTTTTTTCTCTTCAACTTGAAAAAACGTTTCTATGTTTTATTACAGGAATCCAAAGAGAAAATGCCACTGACAAGAACTGAAATGCGACCAGTTCGTCCAGCTCATTACGCTGATTCTTTCTGGGCAACTTACATCATTTCAGTTGCTGCTGCGAGTGTCGCTGAATTTGCAACATATCCACTGGATTTAACTAAAACAAGACTTCAAATTCAGGGCGAAGCTGCAAGTGTCGCTGGAAAAACGGTAAGAATAGAAAAGGTCGAATCTTTTAACTAGGTAATTGACATGAAAATTTAATGTGCGCTTGTTCACAAGTGTCAGGCGATGAAAAAAATAACTCAGTCGATAGAATCAAAATCTTTGTTTTGTTTACCAACAAATGAAAATTCTCTTTCATGAATTTAAAGATTTTAATCATATGAAATTGTTTAAGGCTATCCATCGTGGAATGATTCAAACAGCGGTGGGAATTGTTCGAGAAGAAGGAGCGACGAAGCTTTTCCAGGGGCTCACCCCAGCTTTATATCGTCATGTTGTTTACAGGTGAGAACTGAAACTGTAAGTAAGTTAAGGAATTTTTCATATTAATATTTCTTAATTCTTTCAGCGGCGTTCGTATTGTGACTTATGATATTCTTAGAAAGAAGTTCGTTCACGATTCAGAGACATTAACTTTGTGGAAGTCGGCAGTTGCAGGGGTTACTGCTGGAGGTCTAGCTCAATTCCTTGCATCGCCAGCTGATCTCGTAAAGGTTCACATACAAATGGAAGGGAAACGAAGACTCATGGGACTTGAACCGCGAGTCCATAGCGCTTCTCATGCATTCAAGGAAATCGTCAAACGTGGCGGAGTGAAGGCTTTATGGAAAGGAAGTGTTCCGAATGTCCAACGAGCTGCTTTAGTCAATCTTGGTGATCTTACAACTTATGATTCAGTGAAACGTTACATCCTCAAAAGCACAGGATGGCCAGATGATCATCTCGTTCATATCATGTCTTCAATATGTGCAGGTTTTGTTGCTGCCATCATGGGAACTCCAGCTGATGTTGTAAAGACAAGAGTTATGAATCAACCCACAGATAATCTTGGAAGGTGATTTAAAGTTGAAGAATAACATTAAAAAGTAGTAAATTCATAATCTGCTTTAATTTCCAGAGGAATTCTATATAAAGGTTCGATTGATTGCCTGCAGCAGACAATAAATAAGGAAGGATTCCTTGCACTCTATAAAGGTATTCACGTGACACCCTGATAGATGAAGAAAATTTAAAACCTCCATTTTAGGTTTCATGCCTTGTTGGATTCGAATGGCGCCTTGGTCTTTAACATTTTGGCTGAGTTTCGAGCAAATTCGAAAATCTCTTGGAGCTGGCGGGTATTGATCACTTTTCCATGTTTCTTCACCATAAAATTCCATCAGCGTATCAAATGCAGGAAAATATTTTCATGAATATTCACATAAGAAAACGCTGATTAGGGAATATTGTTAATTTTTTATTTCTTTTTTGTTTCTTTCTATTTTAACTTATTTAAACATTTCATTAGATGGTAGAAGTTTCTAGTAGAAAGTAATCTTAATCGAACTATAAGCACGTGAAGAGTTCGTAGAAAGCAATATGGTTGAAAGTAAATTCTCGGGGTGGGATTAATTGGACAATACTTGACAATAAGCGTCGAAAATTCCGATGGTAAATTTCTTGTCGCTTGAAAATCTGTTCATTGATTGTGAAATTTTTATGCATACAAACATGTATCTAATCAATTTTTATCTTTCCACAAATGTCTTTATTGTATTCGTTGTTGAACTTTTGATTTTCGTTACAATTTGCACTAACAAAAATGTTAATCAATTTATCTTTTTATTCTTGACACAAATAAATTCAATTCCTTAGTTCCTTTTCTGACTCATGAAAAGCAACGACAAGTTGAATTTTATTGATATTATTCGCATGCTGTCATCAAATCGGAATTACTTGTCATGCTCAAATTTTCGGGGATAAAATTTCAAAAAGTTTTTTTTTGAAAATCACAAATTAGCTGGTAAAATATCAAATTTAATGTAGCTGTGATTGATATTTCAACAAATAAATTTTATTTAGTTCAATTTATGCCATACGAAAATCAAGGGAAATGTTTTAAACAAATATACCTACATAAAATATCTATTGAATAAAATGTTTTATCATATGTAGATGATTGTATCGAAAATGTTTAAAATTTCTTCTTCATGAAAATATTTTTGGTTTTTCAGGATTAGAGATAAATACCTAATAAAAAGTTTTTAAATTGCAACGAAACAAAAGCATTTGTGCTCGAGTGTGTTTTACAAAGATGAGTGAACACTGGCAACTAAACTGACAACTACTTAATCTCATGTTTTTATGAAATATTCATTTATCAGTATAGATATCTAATGTATCTACATTAAAAGGTCTTAATAATTATCATAATCAGGTAAGAATTTTTTTTTCAATGGTATTGGTAACAATTGATAACAAACCGAACAAAACAAACGAAGACTAAATAGTGTGTCTTTTACGTTCTTATTATTCAGTTCTCTTCTATGTTATGTTAGAAGATTAAAAATTCATAACATAAATTTCATTTTAACATTTTTTTACCAAACTTGAAAATACTGTAAAACTTAAACTTATAAGAATCTTGAGAAATTTAAGAATTATCAACGATTTGCTTGATTTCTCTCTTCTCCAAATTCTTTTTCACATTGCATTGAAGTGAAAATATAAATAGATTTTCTTTCTCGTGTTTATTTTTGTGTGTCGTCAAATATTTTTCCTTCACCATTGAGAAGCAACCAGAAAAAGGGGCAAACATGACAACTTTGAATTTAGAAAAGGTTTGTTCAATAATTCAAGTGCATGTTGTTAACTTTAGATGAATTAATTTTAATCTACGTGAACAATATCACCACCTAAATCGTGTTTCTGATAATTTATCGGCCATACATACAGAAATTGGCAAGCCTCCGAATAAACAAACGTAAACAATGACTTTTCTTTAATTTATAGCAACCTAAAGACAAATTGTCACTAAAAAGAACTGAATTAAGGCCACTAAGTCCACCTCACTATGCTGATTCCTTTTGGGGAACGTACCTTATTTCCGTAGCATCTGCAAGTGTTGCAGAAAGTGTTACTTATCCATTAGATCTGACAAAGACAAGACTTCAAGTTCAAGGCGAAGGTTACAACCATGCACAGAACTCAAAGGTGAGTGACCAAGGAATAATTAAAACCAAATTATCGTTTAATTATGAATAAATTAAATTTAATTTTAATTCTATTTAGATTCATCATCGCGGAATGTTACAAACAGCTTTTGGAATTATACGAGAGGAAGGAGCAACAAAACTTTGGCAAGGAATCACACCAGCTTTATATCGTCATGTTGTCTACACGTAATTCAACTTCTTTTCATTTATTTGGTTGATTTAGTTCATTAAATTGCCTTTCAGCGGCGTTCGTATTGCAACTTACGATATCTTCCGGAAGAAATTTGTTCATAATTCAGAATCAATGACACTGGGGAAAGCAGCAATAGCAGGTGTTACTGCTGGAGGTCTAGCTCAATTCCTTGCATCGCCAGCTGATCTCGTAAAGGTTCACATACAAATGGAAGGGAAACGAAGACTCATGGGACTTGAACCGCGAGTCCATAGCGCTTCTCATGCATTCAAGGAAATCGTCAAACGTGGCGGAGTGAAGGCTTTATGGAAAGGAAGTGTTCCGAATGTCCAACGAGCTGCTTTAGTCAATCTTGGTGATCTTACAACTTATGATTCAGTGAAACGTTACATCCTCAAAAGCACAGGATGGCCAGATGATCATCTCGTTCATATCATGTCTTCAATATGTGCAGGTTTTGTTGCTGCCATCATGGGAACTCCAGCTGATGTTGTAAAGACAAGAGTTATGAATCAGCCTACAGATAATCTTGGAAGGTAAAATTAGTAATTCAGATTTAATGTCAGAGCATCATTAAAAGTTTTTTAATGAAGGGGACTCTTGTATAAAGGGTCGCTGGACTGTCTGCAGCAAACCATAAAGAGAGAAGGAATGTTGGCACTTTACAAAGGATTCTTGCCTTGTTGGATTCGAATGGCGCCGTGGTCCTTAACATTTTGGCTGAGCTTTGAACAAATCAGGAAGTCCTTAGGTGCAGGAGGATATTAAAAACAAAGAGTGATAGCAATTAAAAATGGATGATAAATTGATTTTTGTTTTAAATCTTGCATCAAGATGTCAAGAAATTAATTTAGTTTAAAATTTATATTTTTATATAAAAAACCTTGTATAAAACTATAAGAACATCCCAAAATTTTTGACATTATTAAGGAGTTCAATTTATTGGTTCTAACTTGTATTAGAGAGGAATCAGCTGTGCTTGACTCTCGTATTTTTTTTACTCTCTCTCTAACATTTTATTCTTGATTTTATTCCTCAAAATGCGGATGGTGTTACAAAGTAAATAAAACTCTTGAATATCCAGAACAATTCTTTAAACTCTAAGACGGTAAAATCAATTTTTATACAGAAATAAACAGATTCAACGATGCAACGATAAAAATGACGACTTCAGATGTGACTTTTAGTGAGCTTATAAAGAATATGAATTTAAATTAAAAATTTCAAAGAATTTTTGTATTTATTTTCACGAAAATGAAACAGATGTTGATGAAATTCCCTTCTGGGTTGAATATACGAATAATGTGATTCCTAAATTTGCTCTTAAAGGAGGAATGAAAGACGATGAAACTATTTACATTGGGCGTGCTCTTCATAATGGTGCTTTAACTCCAGGTTGTTTCTGATTTTTGAAAGCAATTGTTTCACCTCTTTAACTCACCTATTATCATTATTAAAGGAAGTGTTGTGTCGAGTGAAAACTCTCTCTACTTAGCTTGGGGCTATCAAGCGCACAGAAAAACTAATTTTGAAATACTTGTTGGAGGTTCAGAGGACAATTGGGTGGCCTCTAAAGGTGGCCATGTGCCTGAAAATGCTTTTGTAGCCGGTTACACTGAACTTGGGGAATCTCTTTTTATTGGACGACAAATCCACAATGAAAGACTTCTTGTTGGAAAGATTCATCCGTCGTTTTATTTGTGTTACATTCCAGATATCGGTGGAACCAAAGAACTTGAATTCAATAATTACGAAGTTCTTGTTGTATGATTTCAAATAATTCAATAAAGATTTTCTATAAAAGTTTATTAAAAAGGACTACAGTAAGGAAAACCGAAAGGAAAACAAAGAGAAATCATGCGCAATACAAATTTTTCCAGTTGTTTATATTCAAAGGTCAAAATTATTTCACAATCTTTGAAATTCTTACTTCAGAAATCTTCTGTAAATTATTTGGAATATTGTGAATCTAATTAAGTTTAATGCAATTATTTCACCTTTCGTTAAATATTTAATAAGTTTTAACGTATTTTTGAAGTTTAAAGTCGCCTCTTTATTACTTCTCTAGCCCCTGAAAGAAGTAGGAATATTCTAAGAAAAGCGAAATCACAAATAAATTCAAATTAACTCACAAAATATCATTAATAACATTTTAAAATAACAAAAATCATCATAAAAAGCTCACAGGTATGTAAACGAATAAAACTTTACTTCAATTGCATAAAATCTTCTTAGTTATTCCTGAGAATTGTTTCAAGTTCAAGTTTGAAACTTCTTTTTATCTATTTGATTGCGCTCACGTTACAAATTTGTTTTATTATTTTCAAATCAATCAAATAACAGCATTTTACTGTCAATAAGATATAATCGGTTGACTTTTAAAGCAACAAACATTCATTCAATTCAAACGCAAGAAATTAGCTATTGCATAATTACTTGTTATGTTAGCTAGCGCATTTCTTTTCTGTGCGAATAAAAAACTTTCTAGGATGACACAAAATTCCTAAAAATAGTTTTGTGACCTATAGAAATATTTATATCGGAGAGATTATCAATTTAATATATTTTTATTTAAACAATATTCTTTTTGTTAGATATGAAGTCGGTAATTCCAGTTACTGCTGGCATATTGAGTGTCGGCGTTCTCATTTATCTTTATATAAAACGTCGTGAAAAGGGAAAGAAAACAAACGACTCAGATGACAATCAAGCTTTAGATCCTATTGAAGAATTAGAATTTAAAGTCAAGAATCAACAAGTACCAGCTATTATAGGTCGAAATTCAGTAATTTTAAAGTCAATCGAAGAGAAAACACAAACAACTATTCGATTCCGAGTAACTGATGAAAATAATCAAATGTGCTTGATTAAAGGCAAAAGAAATAATGTGAAAGCTGCAAAACAGCTGATTGAAGTCGAAGCATCGAAGCCATGCATAATTACTGATGAGATTCTCGTTCCAACATCATCATGTGGAAAGATTGAAGGATATTCTGGTTCAATTCTCCACGAAATATGTTCAAAGTCATCTGCAAAAGTTTGGGTTGATCCTGGAAGTCGTAAGAACCAAGCAGAAAATCGTCGTGTTCTGATTACAGGGACTGAGGAACAAGTTCAAATTGCTAAGAAATTAATCGAAGAGAAGATCAAAGAAGAACAACCAGTTGACAATGATAATAAGAAAGATGATTTTAAGAGAGAACCACGTTTATCAAGTCCAGGACAAAACAGCAGTAATTCAAGTCTTACAGTTACAGATTCAGCCAGAGAAATTATGTTACCTTCACCAGAAAAGCTTAAGAACAATGACGGTCAATTGGAAGTTTTTGTTTCAGCTCTGAATTCTCCATCACGCTTTTGGCTTCAACTTGTTGGTCCACAATCTACTGAATTAGACTTTTTAGTCGACGCTATGACAGAATATTACAGTGATAAATCAAATCAAGAGCTTCATCAAATCCGCGAACCTTATTTGGGACAAATTGTTGCTGCAATGTTCTTTGCTGACAATAAATGGTGAGTAGGATATTTGAAAAAGTTTACAAGCATCAAAATATCATTTTTCGTTGTCTTATTAGGTATCGTGCTGAAATTGTTGCCATCCAAGTTAACAAGACACTTCCACATGAATTACTTTTTGATGTTTACTTTTTGGATTATGGCGATAATCAATTTGTATCGAAGAAAGATATTCTCGAGCTTCGAGCTGACTTCCTTTCACTTCGCTTTCAAGCAATTGAATGTTTCCTGGCTCATGTCCAACCATCGAATAATGAAAGCAAATTAGACGAGTGGGATGAAAAATCTGTTGAAAAATTCGAAGAACTCGTTCAGCCTGCACGTTGGAAGAAGCTCATAAGTAAAGTTGTTGCATATAAAGATAAAAAATCTTTTGCGTTTCAACGACAATCAAAGCAACGTGAAAGTTCACCAATTCCTGGAGTTGAACTCTACGATCCTGATGATAATTCAGACAAAAATATTGCTTTAGAACTTGTGAAATTAGGACATGCTGAGATGACTTATGATTTTGGTGATCTCAAGAAAAGTTCAATTTTGAAGCCAACAGAAGATGAAATGAAAGAAAAAAAAGATGAAAAGTCACTTCCATTTTCCTCAAATGAAAATGAAGCTATACAGATTAAAATAAAAGAAAATTCACCGCCAATCACTGAAGAAAATCCATCAGAAGATTTATATAATTCACCAATAGCAGACTTGCCACAACAACCTACAAATGGAATTTCACCATCGCAATCGCAGCAAGAACCGTCAAGTATTTTCAATGATGGAAAGAAGAAAAAGAAGAACAAGAAAAATCAACTCAATGAATTCCTTGAAAACGAACAGCAAACATCAAACTCTTCTTCAAAAGTCGATTGGAATACAATGATGGAAGACTAAAAGAATTAAAATGAAAAACATTGAAATGAATTAACCAGATTCGATGCCAAAAACAAGAATTGCATATCGTGCCTTTCAAAGGAATCAAAAAAAATGTTCAAAAGCAAATTTAAGTTTTCCCTTTTTCTTGTCAATTTCTTTTAGGTTTTCCTGATTTTTTTTTATTATTCGGAAACAATTTATGAACTCAACTTTTGTTTGTTTCTGATGTATGAGATACTTTAAAGAGAATAAATAAAAATGTTAATTTTTTTAAATTTATTTTTCAGTATTTTATTCTTTCCATTTTTTAATTGTTTGTCTCCAGTTGTCAACTTAAATTAAGGGCAAATTTTTAAAACACAAGAATCTTAACTTTCCTGCTATGATTTTAATTCTTTTCTTTTTTTTTGTTTATCTATCGACAACACTTTTTTATGTTTGTTGGAATTGATTATAATTTCCATAGGAAGTGAATGAAAATTTATATTTTTTCTTTTCTTAGACATTCTCATTTGCACTTTTCTTATGCAAGGAAATTATTTGCTGCTTGAAACACAATGGAGAAATACGAATAAAGAGAAAAGTTACGAATGAAATTAAAAAGCATTTAAAATAAATAATTTAAAATTTATAAAAAGTGTGTTGCATTTGTTTGTGGGTTGATAGCCTTTTTTATCTCTTATTCATTCTCCTTCGAACCGACCTTTCAGTCTTCAGTTGATAGTTCATCTCGAAATTCAATTCTCATCTTAATCATTTAAACGCTTTCTTGATATCTAATGACTTCTTCATCTCAATCATTTAATACATTTTCTCTCGTTTCACAGCATCTTATATGCATTTGCATGTTTTTATTTATTTATTTATGTAATAGCAGAGAAAAGAAAACAGAGAGAATTGTGGGAGTTATCAGCAAAAAGCAGTGAATTGATTTGCAATAAAAAAGCATAAGGATCAAGATATAAATAATAAATGACTCCCACGACTGACATTTTTGTTCATGTGATTACTTTTAAAAATGTTTTATATCAAAAGACAGTTAATAATTAATTAATTGGGTCAAAAAGACTTTCCACTCCCATTAATTTATTTTTTACTTTTATTTAAAAATTCAAATTGTGTTTTCAATGCAACAAAATCTCACTTTTCTTTTTTAACATTTTTCTTCTAACTCAGAAAAGTTGTTAAGTGTCAATGATCAAAGTTCATTCATTTCCTTGCATGTACGCTAATCATTAGACTTAAAAACTTTTCTACTTTAATGGAGCTTTGCATGAAAATAAACTCACAAGTTAAATTGCAAATCTTATGTTTGTGTTCTGTCACATTTCTTGGATTATTGTACCAAACTTACACAAATAAATAAAAATGCATTTAAAAAATGAGGAATAAAAAATATTTAAGAGATATCAAGAATAAAGACAAATATTTTTCAATTTCTCTTCCCAACTGTTCCAGCACTAATGAAATATAATTTAATTGTTTCCTCCTTTCAATTATAATTCACTCAACATTTTTGTCTCCTTTAATTAAACTTTTTCTTTTATTCTGCATTTCATTGCGTGTCCATTCCGTACATAAATTCTATAATCAACATCTTTTTCGATGATTGTTTTTATTTTCTTCTTAACTTGTTGATTGATGATGAAGTTGTTGCTGTGGTCGATCCGTTTATTATATTTTTTTATCCATTATTCCAACTACTTTGATCTCAGTGGTTTTTTTTAATTTTTTTTTTGTTTTTTTAAATCTTTAGTGAATTATTTGTTTTAAATCTTACACATTCTTGTTGCGCGGAAAGTGTAAATAGAAATAACAGGATAAGAAAGCGTTTAATTTTTCGCTAGTTTTTCAATGTTGCCTTTGCAATGACGCGCTCATTTATGTTTTAATTTTCAATTTAAGTAATGGTTATGATGCGACGAAGTTTTTTTTTTGTTTATAGAAACTAAGAAGTTCATACGAAGAAGGAAGGATGGGATTTTTTTAATAAGATGTGAGTGTTACTTTTTTGTTTTGTAATAAAACATGGACAAAAAGACAAACAAACTTAGAGGAAATAATCTGGAGTTCTTCTTGTAACGTGCGGTTCACCACGACGTGGGGCGGGATCGAATTGGAGGCTAGAAAAAGAAAAGACGATTAATTAACATTCACAAAATATCAACAACAAAAAAGAAAACTTACAATGAAAACTTCAATGAATCGTCTAATTCCATTAATGCTGCTTGATTTCCGCATCGATAACAATAGTTTGGCGCTGAGAATATTGTGACAACGTGACGTTCGTGACACCAATTGTAGCCTTCCATTACCAACTGATGGGCACGTGATACTAGTGTCAATCCATTTGTGTGATTAAAGATTTCGGAAATATCCTAGAAATGAAATTGATTTAGAAATTGATAATTATTGTCATTATCACTGAGTACATACCTGACCAAATGTATAACCAGCCCCTCGTGGTGAAATGCCCCAACCACCTCGATCATCTGGATCGCTCCACAAAAGGTCACACATGGGACCTTCATGTGGCACTTCCTGCAGTCTGTCTAAAGCCCTAATGTGATCTAATGTATCAATCGATGGTGACAAACCTCCATGCAAACAGAATATTTGTCCATCAACAAGGGCGGTGAGGGGCAGATAGTCGAAAAGATCAGTAAAGTATTTCCACACATTCGGATTACCATATTTGCGCAGACATTCATCGTAGAAGCCATAAACTTGAGTGATTTGTCTCGACTCATGATTACCACGAAGAATAGTGATTCGTTCACGATAGCGGACCTTAAGAGCAACCAGAAGTGTCACAGTTTCAACCGAATAGTAGCCACGATCTACATAATCGCCCATAAACAGGTAATTCGTATCTGGTGAGCGTCCACCTATCCGAAAAAGCTCCATCAAGTCGTGAAATTGACCGTGAACATCTCCGCAAACTGTCACTGGACATTTTACTTCTTGAACATTTGATTCCTTTGCCAGAATCTCTTTTGCCTTAAAATAAAATAAAAAGAATGAAAGATAAATATTTACGAGTCAATTAAAAGTCTCATGACTTGTTTACTAAATGATTAAACTTTATCAATGGTCGTTGATAACGTGAAGGTCGTGTATGATAACATTGAGTGATAATAACTTAAAACACGTAAATGTTTCTCACATCACGAGTTTAACAGAATGACTAATGTTGATGATGACTATTACTAAGCGTAACGTAAATTTATATCAAAAATTTGAGATAATAAACGAACAAAACTGAGCAAAATAAACAAATTTCTTGTTATTTTATTCAAAAGTGTCACTGAACTTTAAAAGTAGATGTTTCATTTAAGGAATATTTTTAACTTAATTGAAATAAAAATATCAACCTGATAATCTCATTTTCACGTTGTTGACGCAATCAAAATTTCATTCAATGAACTAAATTTGATTTATTCGATTTAAAATCGATTCAATTTGTATTTTTGTTTGATTCTATCTGAACTTCACTGGAGTTGTGTTTTGCAAATAAATACAAAGACTGGAGATTTTCATGATAAACTTTGATGATTCATTTGTCACTTTATTTTATCTACTCAATGAACCATGTCCGTACTTGTTTAATTAAGTATTAATACTTAGACATTCTTATTGTAAATCGAATATTGATGATTTTCCCAAACTGAAAGCACGTTGTGAATTGTTTGAAGCAAAATTCTTTTCTATCTATTAATAGAAGATTAAAACATTTGGGAAAGCAAATTGTAAGTTGGCTTCATACAGAACAGTAATTTTTAAAGAAAAACATAAATGAAGCGTTGTTTAACATTGTTCTTCAGTTCAATAAACTACTGTTCAATGATCATTCAATCCATTTTGGTAAAATTTTAATGCTCACTTGAATTTTTATTGATTAAACACTCATCGTACTATTTTGAGTAGCAAGAAGGAGAAACAGAAATATTTGGCATTTTATTTAACATGGCACTTCCATCACATCAAATGTGTTTTGATTATATTTGTATAATTTTATTATGAAAACATTTTTCCAAGAATTTCCCGATTCTCAACAAACACGCATCGCATTTAACCAATCACATTTAACACATTTCAGCGTTTTGTTTTCTTGTTAGATAGAACTTCCGTTCGCCTTGAACTTAAGAAAGAAATTGTGCTATTTATAATTTCATTGAGGAATGAGAAAAGCCGAAAGCGTCACACAGAAAACGTCACTTAATATACTAAAATCCTTGACTTGTCTTGATACTCACAAAAAAACAAGTGAAAAATTCGATTGAAGCAGAAATTTTAATTTTTTATCGAGCTCCACGCTGCTTTGGCTGCTTCCAATCAAACATCAAAGAGAACTGTAATTCTTTTCGAAATCGTGATGTTCCCACACTTATCTTGTTCTTATGTAATTTTTTAATTTATAGAACTGTTGGAAACTTGTCCTTCTCTCTAATAATAAAGTTATAACCCGATATCAAACGGAATATCTCGAATGATTCATTCAGAATATTAGTATTGTGTAGTTGTCTCTATGCGAGAAAATCTTTTTAAATATATGTGAATGAATGAAAAACAAAGACATTGTTTTTACGAGCTGTTAAAGAAAGTAATGAAACATTCATAAAATTTTCAAGTATCTACAATATTTCTTTAACGAAAAATGAAAAATTGTTAAGAACTTTAGAAGTTTATCATTGAGATTAATGAATTTTAATTCCTTAATTTACTGCCTGCCAAATTTATGAGCATGTGCCAAGTGCAAACAATTTTTTGATGTCTAATTGACGAGTATGCGGTTCATACAAATTTCAATGAATTTTATTTCATTGTCTAAGTTTCAAGCGTTCCATAATATTTACAATACTTATTAGAAGTCAAATTCTTCTTTCGGACATTGTATCGAACATCATTTTGGAATTAAACAAATCAATTCTTGAAGGTCAAACTGATTGATTTTTTTTTGTTTTATAAATATTTCCTTTTCACAACTCTATCATCACTACACGAAGTAATGAAATGCAGATGAATTCGACATATTGAAAAGTTAAGGACAACTGATTAAATAATCTATAATGAATGTTTTATCCTTATTGTGCACGGAATACGAATTCGACCTTCATAAAGACTGTCATTTGTGGCTAACAACAAACATCCTTTTAATTATCCATTTGTTGTGCATATTTTATAAAACTTTAATTACAACTTTCCACTGAATTAGGTATTATTTAGTCATTGCATTGTAAAACATGAAAAATCGCGTTTTTCCTAGACTTTAACTTTAATTTCTTTCACATATAGTGAGACCTGCTGCGAGGCAGTTTATTGATTAATCCGCTATATTGTTTTAGTTCTTTACTCCATTTAGCTTTTATTTATTTATAGTATTTAAAAATTGCTAACTGTTGTTTATGTGGAAGTAATGGGAACTTCTTCCTTATTCAGTTTTTATATTTCGTCATCAATTATTAATCATCAATGATATCGTCATCATGTATTGATAAGTTTTATTATTACTATTTTTTGTTTTATCACTTAAACACACTTTCCCATTTAAGCGAATGACTATGAAAACTGATAAATATATATCAAACAAAAAGTAGCACACATAATTCTTATTCAAAAATTGGTGAACTAATCGATTAGAAAAATTTCTGAGAATTCAAATTTAAATTTTCACTGTTTCTTCCAATTCAAGCTTTATTTTTCATGTTTTTTCAATTCTTCTTACATTTTTTCAGTGTCTGGTTATTTTATTCACATTTTGCAAGAATAATTTCAACTTTTACAAGTCACACTAAGAATTTTCATCATCATCCATTTGCACACACACTCGAAAAAAGGGAAGAAAAAAATTATAAGCCTAAGCTCCCCCATAGAATTTTCAATTTCACTTTTCTCACTTTTAACAATTGTTCAAATCATTTAGAAGCTCTAAAATGTGATTTTCAGCATTGCAACCAAGTAGTCACTTATACTTTTTATTATTTTTCTCAGAATTTCACATGATTTTCAACATCAAAAATATTTCTCACCTTCTCGCATAAGATTTTAACTTGGCTCTCCGTTAGCTGTTTACACTCGTTCAGTTGCTCAATCCATTGATCTAGATCCTTTAAAGTTGTTTTATCTTCCATTTTGTGTTATTTGATTACACGTTAAACAATTAATTACTATTGAAAAAATGAAAAATAGTTTCTATCAATTCTACCAAGAGTTTTAATGGCGGCAATGGCGGGGGTATCAAACTTTAAGTGAGAAGAATTTTACACTTTTTTGCGAAATTTTGGAACAATTCACGGACTTAATGTTTTGCGGTTTTTATTGTTGATTCTTGTTGTACAAAATGTGTTCTTTGTTCTTTTTCTTTTAATTTGAATGAGCATTTCCTTGAAGTCAAAATGATATATTTGATATCTTTTATTTTTATTTGGATTAAAAATTATTTAGTGGTGAAATAGTCTTGTAGAGTGTCTCCTTCAGAATGAATCATTTTTTCATGAACGTAACCTTTTTATAAACGGAAAACCTCTCTAACTTTAACAAACAAATTAAATTCATTTTTTAAAATCTTTTTTTGAAATGGCATCATCTGTACCTACAAAAATATTTATTCAGATTGATTCAACTGCCGAACAGCAAGAAAATATAAAGAATACTCAAAAATCATCGAGATCATTTGCAGTTCTTCAGAAAACCGGCACTGTTGACAAAGAGAACTTGGTAGGACGCCAGACATTTATGACGAAGGAACAATCATCAAAGAAGGCATCCGAAAGGTAAAATCCTTTGAAATTCAAATAATAAGACAAGAATTGAAATAATGTCCTATTTTTATAGTGAGTTAATTCAAGTTACTGGAATAAAACGCAGAGTTCCTTCAACAAACACGACTTCAACATCTTCACAAACGAGCCCTACTCCCAAAACTGTTACTGAGACAATAACAAAAGATGATCTGACATCTGAAAATGTAACTGAAAAATACTGGGAAGTTTTGGCTGAAAAACGTAGAGTCGCATTAGAAGAGTCTTTAGTTGAAAATCAAGAGTTATACGAACGAATCGCAACATTAGAAACAGAACTCAAAGAGTCAAAGACAATGCTTACCGAAGCACGTCATCTCGTTGAAGTTCTCACAGAGATGTTGGAAGAAAATGAAGAAGACAAAGATGCTACTATTCCTTCGGATACCGCAATGGAGAACGAAAACACTTAAACTGATAAAAAAATATTGAATTCATTAGAATTTATAATACCTACTTTATTCATTTCTTACTATAATATTTCTATTCTTATGTTATCTTTTGAGTGTTAATAAAATAAAATCGAAGAGTTTCAAAGATAAACTGCCTAGTCCATTGTTTTTACTCGTATTTCCCTCATAAAATTTAAATAATTCTCGTTTCACATTCAACTTTGTTCTTCTGGTGGGTTCATAACTTTGCGAAAACTTAAGAAATCCTATTCACAATGAGCGAAGAAAAAGTAAAAATAGATTCTGAAGATAAACAAAGTGATCCAGAAGAGGTCCCAAGCAACGATGATGTTGAGAACGATCCTAAGGATACCACAAACAAGAAAAAGAAGAAGAAGAAGCGCAACAAAGGTGAGAAAAAATACAATAATTCAATTTCGCGCTATACTGAGATAAAAACGCATGGTGATTTAATGAAAAGAGATTTGACATTCAAGTTTTCTAATTATGAGCGATAACTAATGTATCGTACGTCTTCTTTAAGAAATACTTTTGAAAAAAATTAAGTTTTTTAAGGTTACTTAAAAGATTCTTTTGTGTCACTCTTTTTGTTAGGAAAACAGCAACAATCTGAAAATGCTAAGACCGAACCGGAAGTAATACAAACTAACAAGCCTACTGAACCAGAAAACGCTAATGGTGATGATAAGGATGAGTCTGAGGATGATGACAATGCTCCCGAAACCGGAGACAAAAAGAAGAAGAAGCGCAAGCGAAACAAGAAAAAAGGAGGAAACTCAAATGAAAACATTGGAATTGGAACGAATCCAGCAAAAGCAGGGTCACAATATGGTCAAACAAATCCACCAACTATTCCAATTGTTGATCTATTCAAACTTGGAAAATACCCTGAAGGAGAAATTCAAAAATATCCAGTCGATGACCGAACTGCAAAAGATCGCTTTACTTCTGAAGAAAAGAAAGCAATCGATGCAGCTCATAATGAAATTTATAATGAAGTGCGATTAGCAGCGGAAGCTCACCGTGAAACTCGTCAGTATATGGTAAGAATTTATTTTATCTCTCATGATATCGTATCAAGCTAAAATTTACTGATAAATTACAGCAAAAATGGATTAAACCAGGAATGACAATGATTCAGATTTGTGAGGAACTTGAAAACACAGCAAGACGTTTAGTCGCTGAAAAAGGACTTGAAGCTGGTTTAGCTTTTCCCACTGGATGCTCAAGAAATCATTGTGCTGCTCATTACACGCCAAATGCTGGAGATCCAACTGTTTTGGAATACGATGATGTTGTGAAGATTGACTTTGGTACTCATATTAAAGGTCGAATCATCGATTGCGCTTTCACATTGGCATATAATCCAAAATATCAGAAACTATTAGATGCGGTGAAGGATGCAACAAACACTGGAATTAAAGAAGCTGGAATTGATGTTCGTCTTTGCGATATTGGAGCTGCCATTCAAGAAGTCATGGAATCTTATGAAATTGAGCTCGATGGAAAGACTTATCAAATTAAAAGTATCAGAAATTTGAATGGTCATTCAATTGCACCATATAGGATTCATGCTGGAAAGACTGTGCCTATTGTAAAAGGTGGCGAAACCACAGTTATGGAGGAAAATGAATTTTACGCTATTGAAACCTTCGGTTCAACTGGAAGAGGATTAGTTCACGATGATATGGACTGCAGTCATTATATGAAGAACTTTGAAGTTGCATATCAACCATTAAGACTGCAATCGTCAAAACAGTTGCTTGGTCTTATTAATAAGAACTTTGGTACTTTAGCTTTTTGCAAAAGATGGTTGGATCGTGCTGGAGCCACAAAATATCAAATGGCTTTGAAAGATCTTTGCGATAAAGGAATTGTTGAAGCTTATCCTCCACTTTGCGATGTCAAAGGCTGCTATACAGCTCAATACGAGCATACTCTTATATTGAGACCAACATGCAAAGAAATCATTTCTCGCGGCGACGATTATTAACCCAAATTTCATTGAACAAAATCACTTGTCTTTAATTTTTTATGACATTTTCCTTTTTCCATTTGATGTGAACGACCAAAAATATTTCGTTTTTGTTCTTTCTCCTTCTTTCCCCCTTTCAAAATGAAAACAAAAATTGTTAATTAATTGAAAAAGAAGAGAGAAAATAAATAAAATGAAAAGATGAAAAAGTCCAAGCACTTGTTGATCACGAACATAAATAATTTTCTTTATTATTATCATACTTATTAGTTTTGACACAGTTTTACTTAAATGAATACAAAACTAAAATTTCGTAAGAACTTCTGCTAGTCTCGAAACTGTTGAAAACTTTATTTAATGATCGACAGAAGTTTCTTTTGAATGTGAATACTATGGACGGTTAAACCAAGTAAAGAATTTCTCAGCCATTTCATTCTTTTTTTCAAAAATAATCTTAAGTAGTTCACGAACAAAAAAACTTTCGATTGACTGAAGTTTTCAAATTTCCTTGATTAAAAATTTATTGATTGTTGTTGTGTTCGTTAATTTACTTGTTTCGTTTGTTTTTCAATGTTTTTCTTTCATTGAAATTTTCATTAGGTATGTAAGTTGAACGGAGGGTAGTTTTGAATATTTAAAACGTAAAGTTCGTCTTAGTACTTACATCATCAACATAACTTACTTTTAAATACAGAAACAGCATAAGATGCGACGACCTTTACTTCATTTAAATGCAAATATTTTCGTCTAATTTTGACATGAATACTCATTGACTTTAAACTTTCAAACTTGACTTGAGAAACTTTATATAAATATATTTATGTACATATGTAACATACATCCATTCAATGCTTTGAATTTGAGACACTTTCCGGTTTGTGAACATTTGTGATCAGCAAAATATATTTACTCATTGCATATTCTTCATTTCCCTTCACATGATATATAAAATAATAATAAAAATATTTTCATCTGTAAAAACAATGAACTTTCGTTAATTTTACATGCTAGTATCTAAGATTTAAATAGAAAGCTACATTCTTTGAATAAATAATGTTATTAAGATTCCAATACTTATGGAGGTTTACTTTTAATTTTTGGACTAGCTTTAGATAATAATGTGGAGTTTCCTTCAGGTATTTTAAGATTGACATTTTCAGGCTTTACTTCAGGCATATTCTCGTCATCTTGTTCATCTACAGAAAGTTGCACCGATGAGTCAGGAGCTGATGGGATGGTAGGCAAAAACCTAACATTAAGTCTAGGAGATGATGGTTCCTGAGTATCATCATGAAACGCTGACTGACGAACTAAGCGAGGTTTATTGCTTCCAACTAGTGGAAGTGGTTGGCGACTAGAATCTGTTTTTTAAAAAATTATTGATAATCAATTTGAAAATGCAAATAAACAATTTTTTTATTCTTAATGAGAGTCAAGAGTCACTACTCACTTGCAGATTGAAAAGGCGGAAGACTCATTCCAGGTATGCTGGTTCCGCTTGATCGTGATATCCGCCATGTCGATGTGCTGGCATTTGTTGCTGTTGTGTTGTTTGACCCTGAAGAATCATTTCTTGAACTCGAAAGATTAGAATCTTGAGATGTTTTTCTCGTTATCAGCCATGATGTGTGGCGTCTTCGAGGGTCGAGTAGTCTTAATGGAATACCACAATGATGTGGAGTATTCTGACGCCATGAATCAGAACGCGATGAACTGAAATTCCCATCGCTTGATGACATAGATCCAGCACGTTTATGATTTTTTTGTTGAATCTCTGCTATATGATACGAATAATCCATGTGACGATGATTCCGACGTTCTTCAAATCTTTTTCCTTCACTGCAAAAAATTCGCTTCCAAAATCTTGTCAGTAAACTTGGCTGCGATTTTTTTAGTTGCCGTTTCACTTCTTCGTTGTCAAGGACTTTTCCACGATTACAATTGCATGTGTGGGGTGGTAAAAGTGGTGGCATTTCCCGTGACGAACGTTCCACTAAAGAGTTGGTATTGCCAGGTGTTTGTCGATTTGAAAAGTTTGAACTATGTCGACACCTTCCTATGCCTCGCGTGACTCTCGATTCTTCAATCGCTTTACATATCATAACGCAATCTTTCTTAAACTGTTTTGTAAGTATCGCATATAAGAATGGATTGCAGCATGAATTCAATGGTAAAATAAATACTGTGAAAACTTTTGCTTGTTCAAGTGTTATAAGTTGCCAACCAAATACGGCAGTGATTGAGAAGAAAGCAATTGGCGACCAACACAAGAAATCTGTGAACACAAGTAATGCCATTCGTTTAGCAATTCTCGAGTCATTTGAATTCCAAGCCTGAGAACCGCGAATAGCGCAATACATTTTCAAATAACAACCCATCAAGGTCAAAAATGCAACTCCGTTAATGAACATCAAAAATATCACATACGCTAAACTCCCATGGCCCTTGAACACTTCCATCGGTAGACAGACTGAATATTTACGATAATCAGAAACTCCAAGCAATGGTAATATTGCCATAGTTAATGCAAAAATCCAACCAATACTCATAATGTAACTCGCGTGACGTAATGAAAGTCGCTTATTTAAATGCATTGCATGCGTTATTGCATAATTTCTCTCCAATGTTATCACGGCTAATGTATAAACGGATAATTCTGATGAAAGCACTGCTAAAAAGCCACTTAATTGACAGCCAACACTCATTTGCCAAGGTATAGCGTACATTCTAAATTCACCTAATGTCGATGCATCCACCACAGCCAAGAATCCCAAATAGATTCCCATGAAAAAATCTGCAGCTGCTAAATTGCAAACGAGAAAACGTGGCACGTCCATTTTTGATCGAGAAAAAATTAACACAAACACGACAGTGCCATTTCCAAGTAATGCCATTAAAAATACGACCCAAACACCGCATCGTAATGTCCACCAGTCGAAAAGATCTTCACATGGTAGAAATGGTCCTGGTGTGGGCAAACATTTCACTGAACCAGCAGTCTGTTCAATTGGAATTAGATTATTTGATTCTTCTACATAAGTTTCATCAGGAAAGTTTGCTATATTCGGATATCCTAAATCAGAATTTGGGTTCGAGTAGGATTGTAAGAATTCATTCATTTGTGATTGAAACGATGATGTTGTGTTGGCACTTAAATCTGGCCAAATATCATTGAATGAATTATTCCACAACGACATATCAAATTGATCATCTGTTGGGAAAAACACTTCTTCCTTATATGAGCTCTCAACAACTTTTGTGTTCGTTGTCAAAAGCGGTAGAAAAGCACAACAATGATACGCAAATGATAACACCAATGTTCGTATTCTCGGAAAATCTTCAATTGGTGGAAATATTTTCAGTCTCGGATTATTAAACGTTTTCAAATGTAGAAGTCTTCGCAAACCTTTTGTCGGTAGTGTTGGAAAAATGTTATTTCCAAGATTTCTGTGAAACGGAAGTTCATTTTTAATTTTTTCATTCTTATGAAACGTTTGTTGCATTGCTAACTTACAAATCTTCCAACTGATTGAATCCAGAAAATGCTTGCTCATGAATGAAGTTTATGTTATTTCCTTCTAAATCGCTGTAAAAGGATTGAAAGTTTTCTTTTCTTTAAAATGAAGTTTACTTGAATATTTTTTTATGTTATTATCTCATAAGACGACGACGATGACAATGGCGACATCGACAACACAAGTTTATACTTTATCTACTTACAGTGTCTGAAGTTTCTTCAATCCCGAAAACGTGTCTTGGGGAATTGTCTCAATTTGATTATAAGGAAGTAGAAGATCGTTAAGCTGCTCGAGATTCTGAAACGGCTGGTTATGTAATGAAGTAATTCTATTCGATGCCAAGTTCAACAATCTTAGTTCTCGGCAATGTTTTAAATTCGGCACATGTTGTAGCTTATTGAATTTCAATTCTCTGTATTGGAAGAAAATAATAATATGTAATTTATTTCGTGCTAGAATGTGATGAATTGCATTTCAACATGAGAATAATATTTATGTGAACGTACAAACTTTTAAGTCGAGGCGAGTGGATGCACAAGCTATCTGGAACATGACCTAAATTACTATGATCAGCTCTTAGCGTTTCTAATGAATTACAACCCTCAAACGAGGGTAGTTCTTTTAAGTTCCGAGCGTCTGACAAGACCCTTTAGAGGAATAGAAATTAAATTTTATGAGAAACATTTAAATGTCGATTTAATTTCATAACAGCCAACCACAAGTCAACCGCAATTTAACTTACAGTTTCTTCATCTTCTTTAAATTCTTCATAGCAGATTCATGAATGCTTTCAAAAGGATTCGCTCGCAGTTCTAATGTAATCAGACTTGATGGAAGTGTTCCATGTGCAATGGTCTTTAATCGATTATTGGAAACTAATCTGTATGAACAAAAATCTCATTAATTAAATAATGAATTTCTAGTAGATAAAGAATTTTAATTTACAATTCATGCAATTGGGTCAGGTTTTTCAATCCAAACGATAACGTCTCCAACTGGTTGTCATCTAGATCACTGATGAATATTCAAGCAGAAAAAGAATGGACGTCAGAATGCTTTAACACATTACTTTAATTTTAATGTCACAGATATATGATACAACTATGAAAACTTGTGACTTATATCCTTGAAACTTTAATTAAAAATTGTAAAAAAAATGCAGTTAGATACTCACAGTACTTTTAATCTGGTAAGATTTCGAAAAATCCCTGATGAAATTTCCCGAATCTTATTTCGCTTGAGAAATCTGAAAAACAAATATGAATGAAATATGAATAAATAGCTTTTTGTATTGTAATTAAAACTAAAACAATTCATACTTACAAATACTGTAGGTTAATTGATTGAGGAAAGTCTCCATCGTTAAGTTGTGTTAATCGATTATTTGCAAGGTTTCTAGAAAATGTAAATAAAATTCTTATCAGATGTCTTCCTTCTTTCACGAAAATGATTTTAACATTGTTCATGAATGTAATTTAGATAAATGTGACATTATATCATGATATGTTAATAGTTGAACTTCCCAAAACGGAAGCTTCATTAGCTATCGTTATAATGAAAAATAGAATAGTCAGAAAATAGGAAAACAACCATTTTTATCTTAGATTGAAGTGAGAATAAGAAAACAAAAGCAAGCAAAGCAGATTTTCCCATTCAGGCAATTAAGGAGACATTTGCATATTACGGTTCGCGGCTTTTCGATGTAAAATTTTCCATTCCATAAAATCTTATTTATCAAAACAAAATCCCAACAGCGCGTTGTAATAAGCAAAACGTCTCGAGTGAAGAAGCAGCAATAATAAATACAAAGCGTAATGGCATAGACAGCCTTCATGTCTTGTTGATACTCACAGAGCTTCCAATGATGTCGAGAGACCAATTAAAAGCTTGGTCGGAACATGTTCCAAAAAATTTCCTTCAAGGCGTAAGTTTTGAATGCTTTGTAGATGACTTAGTGTAATGTTATCAAAGTTTTCAATTGCATTGTAGTCAAAATGTCTGTTGGAATGAGAATGAGTAGGAGGGCATGATGGTGATAATATTATTAAAACAATGGAATAATGAAAAGTGCAACAGCCTTAATTAAATATTGTGCCAAAGGGAAAGCATCGTAACAAGTTATGAAATATTATTATGGTTCATAAACTCCCGAAAGCAAAGCTTTTATATAACTTAATTAGATACGAAATTGTTTCAATGTTTTCCCATAAAAATGTGCAAAATGTGCAAGGAAAAAAACTCTTCACGGTGCTTTTTTATAAGCCTATACCATGTTTGTATTCATTGAAGAGCTTGTAATGTTTTTAAAAGTATTTCATTCCTTTTCTAAAATTATATTAGGTACTCGTCTTGCCTCTTAAAAGTGCTTTGCATAAAGAACAAGTTTCAAGAACACAATGGAAAGCTCTCCAGATAACAAGTACTTACACAGATGTTAAACTTTCTATATTTTTTAAAGCTTCAATGGGAAGACTCTTAAGTCCACAGTTTTGCATCACCAAACGCTTTAAACTCTTCAAACCAGCAAAGGCATCACGCTCAATTGTATGTAATTTATTATCCGACAATATTCTGCAAGACAAAAATATGTTTAATTCATGATGAAAGACATTCAGATTTAGAATATGAATTGATAGTCTCAGATGTCGTTGACAACATGTAATGTTCTTATATGTAAAGCATGCATTTACTTACAGTTCTTCCAAGATGGAAAGCGTAAAAAACGATTCGTTTCTTAATATAGTAATATTGTTGCTTCCTAAATCTCTGTGAATTAAAGCAAAAAAAAGTAGAAATTTAAAAATTATTTAAATGTTAAAGTGGATGAACAAACAAAATAAAATTCTTGCATTTTAAATAAATGAAAATTCTATTCGATTATCTAAATATATTTGTATGATTTCCGTTGCGAGTACATAAACATTGCATAAATGGACCAAATATATTTATCAGACTTGCAACTTTCCAATGAAGTAAATTTTTATTAAAGAAAATAGTTTGATACTATTTTCTAAAATCTCAATGTCATAAAAATAAAATGAAATTTTACTGATATGAGTTTTTCTAACAATATCACAGTAATGTTCGCTTGACACAATTTCATTTGCTTTCATCTTAAACCATATCGTATTGAAAATGTGTATGTACAATGCAATGGAATCAAAACATCAACGACTGAAAATTTACCACCATCAATAGACTTTCAGACGAACTTTCCTCTTGTTTCATTGAAACTTTTATGTTTCTTCTAAATATTCATCTCAAGGCAAGTGACAAATAAACATATCAAATATCTTTGGCATAAATTCCATGTATAAATAAATTTAAAATTCCTTTATATCGTCCCAAATTTGAAATCTCTTTTTTACAAATAAAATGAAATGCATCCGAAAAATGATGGAAAGAAATGCATTTGCATTATTATAGAAATTTTTGTCTCATATAATTTTATTTAACACAACGTAGCAAGAAAAACAAAAAAAAATCATCTTGGGGTGTGTGATTGCAACTTGGAAGATATTTACACGATCTCAATTTTTCAAACCTCGATAAATGCTGCGGTAGAAAATGGTATTGACAAAGACTTCATACAACAAGATATATTTCTGAACGGTAACCACAAAAGCTAAATAAATAAAGGAGAAAATAGAAAAACCAATGGCAAAAGTTTAGCAGTAATTCATTCGGAATGTGTCGTCGAAGGGAAACTATCATATTTTTTCCCTCATTTTCCATGAAACGTAATATGAAGGAAAATAGTATTTTATGTGTTATCTCAACCCATTTCAAAATTGATTCACACAACAGACAAATATCGGTGATGGAAAAGGCTGTGAAAAACACTTTGTAGTAGGGAATTAGAATGACGGATGGAGCCATAAATTGAATGAGAAGGGACAAATTGAATTACGATCAAAACAGACGAATCAGCACAGGAAGAAAAAATGAGATGAAATTATAGAGAAAAAAACTTCCTTTTGACAGTGAAGTATGTAAAAGTGACGTAACAAAAGTTTCCACTTTGTTTGTAATCTATGAAAAAACTTTTTTTTATAGACGTGACGAAGAAGATTTTCACACCACTAAAAAAGAGTCAGAAGATGAAAAACTTTTCCCTTTGGCTAACAATCTCGGGACCTCTGGAAAACTTTGCCATGATGTATCATTTTTTCTCTTTTATGTTTTCATCCCGCACAACATTTTTAGTTTTAATAAATCTACTTGAGGAGTTGTTGCTTGATTTATGACAGACTTTTAAAAATTTATAGGTTTTTATAGCGGTCATTGATCTATGCCTGATTTACAACATGACATTGTCGTAACAATCTTCACTAACTTTTCCACAGATGAACTATTCATTGAACTCACGCCATGGCTTAACGACGCTCGACGACATAAATATTCTCGTAACAATTTTCCCGTCGATTCGAATTGATCAGCAAACAAATCCCGACGAGTGAAGTAAAGAAAAGAAAAGCCCCGAGATGGGAAAATGAAATTGTTTATACAGCAACGGCTATGGTACTGATTTCATCAAGCAAACACCACATTTACTCGTAAGTATTGTGAGTTGTGATATGTAATGGATTTTGGGTACCATCGTGCTGAATGTGATGTGTGAGAAAAGATGTGTCGCTTAAAAAAGCAATAAATAAAGGCAAAGATTCATCACAAAACGAATTGAAATTTTTGGTGAGTAGCGAAGTGAATATTGTGAGGAAAGGAAATCGAATTTAGTTGTATAATTTATCGAGAAGTGCTTACTTGAATAATAATCGTAAAGCAAATAATCATAGATACAATTTAACCCAAATCAACCCACAAGGAGAGATCGTCAGAGTGGAGTGATGCGTACCTAATCCTTTTCTTTTTAGCCACACAATTTCCAGACAAATAAAACTTCTTTCTAAGTAGATACGAACACCCAAAGCGATATTCTCTCCTTTTTCTTATGCTTGAAAACAATGATAATAAAAGAATTTATCACACTTAAGTTCATTTATACATTTTCTTAAAGGATTTTCTTCTATCGCGGTTTTATGATGATGCCTTGAGAACGATGCTTCAATGGTCTCTTTAAAGGAGAGAAAAGAGAAAAATTAATGAATGAAATCAGTGGTGAACTTTTACAGACATTTTCAAATAAACTTTTAGTGAAATAAAGAAGTTATACTATAAATCATGTCGTCTTATTTATGTTAGCGTTATAAACGAATTGTCGTCTTTCATCTGATATAACAGCATGAAAATTTTCATATAATTTTATGTTTTCGCCATGTGTCTCTTAAGATTTATTAGAATTAAGGTTTTACTTACAATTTTACGAGTTCCTTGGGCAGATCATTAGGAATAGCAGTTAGATCAGCATCACGACAAACAAGTATCACCTCATCAGATGTTCCCAAGCATGAACATCCCTTCGTCTTCCATGGTAGACAAATTTCTTTAAGGGTTTTTCCCAAATCACCATACTGCTTTAAAGCTTCATCATAAAGTCGCCTCGCCTCTTTCTCTGCATTGTTCGATGGAATCACTAACGACTCTTGAATGTGAACATTATCGCGTAATCTCGTCGTCTGGAGCTTCGAAAGAGTCACATTGCTCTTTGTGAAATTTAAGAGTATAAACGTAAGAACAAACAGATGACTGTGAGAGAAACAGGTTCGCCTTTTTCGAATAACATAAGCCATAACAATCTTTGGTTTCTACCATTCACCAAAGTGCTAATTAGATCTCAGCTATTTGCAATCAAGTAATTATAAAACACTTATTTATGGCACGCTTCATCATTTTTCATCAACTTTTAATTGAGTTTGTCTTTTTTAATTTTTTTTTTCACTTTCCGGAATTTTCCAATGCAAATGAGCAGTCAATAAGAAATGTTCAGAATGAAAATTTCTTTCCCTCTTTTTTCCTTTTTCCTTTTTAAATATCTAAGTAAGTATTCTCGTAAATATTTCTTTAACTGCTTCATGGACCATCACGACCGAGAACTTTTATTTGCAATAGCGAATCATAATCAAATCATCATTTCAACAGCCAGATGAAGTTTTCTCCGCAAATTTTCATCTATAATGATACGATAATAGAAAACGGAAAGTTAAAATCACATAAATTAAGAAAATGTCGAATGAATGAATGAATGAATTATTGTGACGCTCGATGCGCATCAGATCTAAGTCTCAATCTCATGAATTATTTATAAGACGGTGATTGGTGAGTTCGGTCTTCGTCTTCGCGAAAAATATGCAAAGTAGAATATTGTTGAACGAATTTGATGAATAAATTTAATTTAAGGGATCAATGAAGAATGTCATGCTTTTACTTTTATTGCCATCAGCATTATTCTCTTATCAATTTGTTCCTATGTAGCTTTTATTAACGAAAACTTTTCCTTTCATTACTGTTAATAAGATTTTCTTTTTCTTCTTATTTTTATGATAAAACTTTTTTTCTGCTGATACTTTTCTAAATTATATTACATTGTAAGGTTTCATCTTCAGCACAAACATAGAACATAATCTCATCACATAAATCCCAAGCTTCTGTCTTATTGCACGTGCTTTATTTCTTCATCACAGTCTGATGTCAACGACTCAGTTTGGATTTCACCAAATCACTCGTTTCTAAACTGTTTATTCTTTGACAGCTTGATATTCAAATCGAATTCACTTTGTTTTTCTTTGTTTTATTTTTATTTGTTAAACTTATTCTCATCCTTTAAAAGTTTGATGCTGTTGCATCAAGTTTTCAAATGAAACTGAATTCAAACGAGAATCGTGTTCTCATAGTTAGATAGCGTGCTTGGCCATATGTGCCAGAAAATAGTTGTGAGAATGTAGAGGTGCACAGCGAGAAAATGAGAGAAGCAACTTACGCGATTAATTTCAGCAGACTGACTCTCCGAGTTGTTAACTTTACTCACATCTTTCCTAACATTATGTCTTGATGTACACTCTGCAATATTATGTCAATACTCTCGTGGTAAATTATATCTACGCTATATCCTAGAGTTGGCTTGTACTTGAAACAAAAACAACGCAATTCTCGAGTGAGTAAAATAAGTGTAAAACAGAGAGATTGTTGAGACCTAGATTTCGCATCTAGTTTTCGCTATTTCTGTCTTTACTCTTATTTATTTTTAAAAGAAAAAATATAATCAACCTTTTACATATGCAAAAATATTTTCAATTATGTTTCATTGGAATTGAATGCGAAGTTAAACCTAAACACACAATACTGGTAATAAAAGTTGTATCAGTTTAGAATGTTAATCTTTTCTGCTTGCTTATGAATGATGTAAAGAAATAGCTTGGTTAACATTTAAAACGTTAACATAAAACAAACAATTAACAATTGACCAACGTGGGTAAACAAATTGCATTTCTATTAAGTAATAAATTTCATTAACAACGTTATTAACATTGACCAGTAGCTTTCAGTGCCAATATCGTTTAATAGAATATTGCCATAAAAGTGATCGATAGTAAATAACTGTTGGTCGTCCAATAATTATTAAAACCAAATTGAAATCACAGCGCGTATTTATATATTCCATACAACTTGTTGATATGTGATTTTCGTATCATCACTATATGGGAAGATTGATTATTCACTTTGAAACAATGCCCAAAAATGATAAAATCAACATCGAAAAATCGCAAATTCTGCTATAGACACGATTATTGAATTGCAAACAATTAACAATGAAACATGTCAAATGCATCACGACTATTTCATGAAGCTTTTATCACATTTAAATTATTTTCACTTCATTAAAATTTTAAACTGATTAAAATTTTACAAACAAACAATTCTGCCGTCTTCCAAACTCGTGTAGAAAATTTTTCATCATTTCGTGTTTTCTTCTTCTTCGCTCAGAACGTGTGTAAACGTAAAATGTGAATACAAGTAAAGTTTTTGTCGTTTCTGTTATCTACTTCATTCTTACTAGAATGACTCAAAGGCTCGTGATGTTGTTTTATGGTATCGATGATGTCTGAAATTGTCGGGGGTTCGAACCTTCGACGAACTTTGATTAAGAATTTCTTTAAACGCTGAAGCTTTTTTAATTAAAAATAATTTTACAAAATTTATATCAATACGAAGAGAAAATACGATTTTCACATTGAAAATATAAAAAAATATTAAGTGGCTAATTTAGCTTCATGCAGACTGCTTATGAATTAAACATGAGACTCACTCGTAAAATCCATCGCTGCTGGCTTGAATTATCTAGAATAATTTTCATTGACTACGTGAATATTCTCTTCTCGTACAAGAAGCAATGAGTTTCACACAAAACTCACAACACGATTTATTTCTTCGAATTTCTTCTTAAAATTAAACTCGAATTCCAGTGAAGGTCGTTAGAGAAGTTGAATGGCATCGCATTTCATTCGTTCGACAATAATACAATTGAGTGTCGTCAACAGAAGTGAATTCCAAATTTGCAAAATTAATAATAAAGCTTTGTCAAATAAAGCTGCTTTTCACTTAGTTTCATTACCTTTGAATTAAATTATTTCATTAAGTCACGAACGGAAGAAGAAGTTATGAATATATCCGAGAAAGACTTGAAATGAACTATTTTTGGAAATTCTCGTGATATTTTTAATGAAAACGTTCAAATCGAATGATCATCGCGTTTTTCGCACTCGATAGAAATTTTTCACATGGCTATTCAAAATGATTTCAATGTCGAAGAGCTGGCGGAAGACGATTAATCAAATTTGAAAGGTCGCTCCTTACGATGATCTAAAAATGCCATAAAATAAACTTCAAGTTTCATCTTATTTCAATGAATGTTTATGATTCTACTGTCAGAGATCTGATGCAACCTCCATTGAAGAGAAATTTGTGATCATGATGACGATGACACATCGACATGTAGTCCTTCACACATTTTATTTCATTTTATTTAATTAAATTATAAAAAGTAAGAAAAACTTCTCTTATTAAAATAAATCATTTATAATGAAGATATAAAACATAAGGAGGAACATATAAATGACAATATAAGGTAAAATTATGTGTGTACATAATGGCTTTATGCTGAATCTTTCTACATTAAAAGTTACATGCAAGTTTGTACGAATAACAAACAAAAGAATTATGATGAATCCATATTTTACTTCACCCTCATGATGGTGACAATGTTTCTGATGTGAACATACATCGAAGATGTTACGATTTCGAGGGTAGAAGTGTTTATACATCGAGTATCATTTTCCGGATGGTGACAGAAAGAAGAAAAAAAAATCGAAGATAAAACGTCTTTTCCTCAAAACATGCGTCTCATCTAGAGCATGGAAACACAGAAAAAAATAAATCTGGAGAATGAAAAGTGAACATCATTCATTCATTGTCATCATCATCGTATCCAACTGACGTCATGATAGAATTAAGAAGCTTTTGCCGGCTTTCTTTAATGGGAGATCATTGGCCTCTATCTCTTTCATATCATGTTGTGGCATTAATGGTTGCCCAACAAAGGATTTATTACGGAAGCCGAATGAACGGCATGAGAAAAATTAATTAAAAGAAATCATGACGAATGAATCAGCAATTTTATCGAGAAAAGCTTTCAGTTACTTCAATAAATAAATAAACACTGTCGAGAATATACAAATTCCATTCTATCGCTATTGACAGGGTGAGATTTTTATTTGTTTATAGGCAGAAGCAAAAAAAAAAGAAAACGTCAAGCACCTAATCACGCTCGATAATGTTTGAATGAATTGAGTATACAAATTTAATAGCGCTCATAAAAAAAAGGAAGCGCGTTGAATTCTAATTTCGAACGTTGAAATATTTTTTTATGAGACGAGTTTCTTCTTATCGAAAGTGTAAACTATTTTTTGTCTATCCAAGGCACTTTGAAAGAAATAAGCAAACAAAGTTTGTCTGACACCATGTGAAGTGAGAAGGAAAGACAAAAGTTGTAAAACGATTAGATATTGGACATCTCTCAAACTTAACCATCCATTAATCACTCGTAAAAAAAAAATCAAAACTTTCAATCGAACTTCTTCTTCAGTGACATTTCTTCTCACACGAATCTCGTTAAAAATAATTCATTTCCAATTGGTAGTCGGGTCAGCGTCGATGGCTTTAATGGTCTTTTAACTGCGAGAATTCAATGGAAGCGAAAGTTCCGCACAACCATAGAAGAAAAAAAAGATTCCGAGATATTTTTGGCGTTGTGAGCGAGATTTATGTCGCCAATAAAAGAAAATTAAAAGCTTTTTTTTTCGGTACTGGAAGAGTTCAATGAGATTTCACTAAAGAAATAAAAAGAAAACATTAAGATGTGATGAGAAAAATGCTGACAGAAAATCTATCGCAAATTCCGAATGGTTATTTAGAGTGAATCTCGTCTAAATTGTCTAGCATTTCACTTGGTAAATGAACATTCACACTTTTGTCACATGTTTGCCGTAACGAGCTTCATCTGTTAAAGATTATTCATATCTTTTCAGCGATCATGTTCATCGCAAAATATTTTCTTCTTCTTTTTCCTACTCAAATTGAAGCATAAAATCTTTTTATTTTTCATCGTAGACGTCGTCTCACCATCATGTAAGCCATTAAACGCATTGATGGTTTATTCAATTAAGTAGCAACTTGAAGCAGAATTACATGCATCAAGTTTAATGATCAGACCTGACTGTCGTCTCAATTTCATTTTTTTTATTCGCCTTCATCTGGTCAGACACAAAGCACGATTAAATTCATGTTTAGAGGTTTACAGCGTCTACGCTGTACTAGTTTCTTAAAATAATTTTGAAACTTACAAGGAAAGGTGGATTAGTGTTGTGTAGTCACTGTGCTTAATGAGTCACTTCTTATTACACTTAATATATTTATTATTTTTTATTTTTTGACGGGACATCAGCAATATTTCACTCTCGCGAATTTTAGTTCTTTTTCTTACTATTTTCGACTCCAATTGCCTGACTATTATTTTCTTTTATTCTGCTCTGAATCACTGTGGAAGGAGATGAAAGGGCATCGACCATTGAATGACGTCACGAGTCGTGTGTCGAGAGATTTCGCCTTAAATTATTATCGTGGGATGAAGTAAACAGTTGTAAAGTACCAAGAAATGATAAATGGCACATAATCTCTATCTATAATTAATTGAGATGATTTTAATGGTAAACACGATTCAACTTTACTCTTCTTTTAACTGGGTCACTTGTTATTAATTTCACCAATGAAATTTTTACATTCTCGTAAATAATTTTAACAAAAATTTCGCGGACAATGTTTTTTTCTTCACCCACTGTCGTTAAACACATGAAGTAAAATCAAGTTGACATCAAAACATCGCTCGCACCATATGCATTCAACCCAGCTGCGATTTTATAATTTCAATTAGTTTCAGTGTTGCTGTAGAAAATGAAATCCTTGAAAGCAAGCACTGATGTATGCGAAGTTTCATGTAATAAAATAAAACTTGACTGGAATTGCCGCGTATTTAAACAACGATTCAAATATGCGTCCGATCACCGACACTCACTCTTTCAAACTGACATGAGAATTGCTCTTTGACTCTTTTAATCCACGAAAAAGAAAAGAAAAAAAACCATCGGCGACTCTCACAGCGGCATTACACACAAACACAAAGTGACTTGTTTTCATCCCAATGTAACGCGAAAATAAAACAAAAATGAAAAAGGAAAAAGTGGGCAAAAAAAAAAAAATTTTTACTGTGAGTAAGTAAACAACAAGAGTTACTGGTATAATGTTGTTTTATTACAACAAACTCTATGCGCAAACTCCCGAAAATATGTTTCCGTTGTCGTGCTTTTACTTTTTCTTTCCTTCTCACGAAATTTCAGCTTGCATCGAAAATAAAAATGATGTATAAATACATAAATATGTATGATGTTCACTCTCTTCAATTGGATTCCTTCGGTTTAAGCACATTGTGCATTGAAAGATTATTGAGACTGAAAAATCGCATGGGATGGAATTTATTTATTTTTTCCTTTTCTTCTCATCAAGTTTGAGTTAACAAGATGAATTACTGTAAATTATGCAATTCACTTAATGGATTTAATGGGCTCATTACCGCTCATTGAGACTTTCAAAAGTATGAGTGTGATGGGAAATCGACGGAAATTTAATATGACAAAGAAGTTTCTCTATGTTTTTCTACAACAACCCCCGAAGCATTATCGTCATCATCATCATCATCATCAGACCGGTAGCATGTTGAAAAGCTCTCTACACCTCTTCTCTCACTCTCATGTGCTTTTTGTTGGTTGAAAATGAAGAAAAATTATTTTCAAACAGGGAGGGTAGCTATCGGTTGGATGAAATATCATCAATCAAAATCTTTTCTGTTTTTCAACCTTTGTTTCCATTTCACTCACTCTCTTCATAAGGCACGTGCGATAAATCATATTTTGTGTGATTTTTTTTTCCTTCTTACTTTTAGACTTTTACATCGATTGATCATACGGAAGTTTTCATGGGAAATATTATTAAATTTAACAGAATGTAGTCAAATAATAATTTAAAGCGTTTTTTAACACCAGCATCACGACTTTGAAGTTAAGTATTTGTTAAATTGTCGTTTGACTTATGACTCAAAAGTAAGCACGATTCAAGTTTCAACAAAATACTGCATATTTTTATTTATGGATTGCTATTCTAAAGTTTCACAATTGCTAAATTAGTGTCATCGATTGCACACGATTTATTGCATTCCGTTTAAAGATGTTCCGGAGGTAAGAACAAATTCTCGATTTGACTGTCAGTCAGGCCTTCATGACGTCCAAAAAGGAAGAATTCTTTTTTATTTGATGATGTTGATGTTTCAACTTCTGATTCAGAGTTTCGTCTTTCAAGCGACCGACCAAATTTTCCAAATATAGTGCTTTGAGCGAAAACATCTTCGAGACTTTGTCGTCTGAATGATGATTTTGATATCCAATCACTGAATCCACTGCCTGATTGTTTCTTTTCATCTTCATCTTCTTTAGGAACTTTCGATCCTGATGCTTCACCATCGTTCTGATCAGAATGTTGGGAGTAACTTGATGTCGAGCTCTCTGAGTCTGTCATAGAATTTAATGGTATATCAGACCATTCAACAATTTTCACCTTTTTCTGTTGATCCTCGTCACGAGTTGGTTCATCGTCATCATCGACAAGCTCATAATCATCTGACAGACTGTTTTGATAGCAAAGATATGTCTTATTCTTCTTTGGTGTATCATTCTAAAGTTTTTAGATAACATTTTAAAATGTTTTAAACATTATTTGAAAGTTTACTAACTTCTTCATTATATTCATTAAGTTTTTGATCTTCTCTCAGTTTATGAATTTCATCAGAAATCTTTTCAAGATTTTGTAATGCTTCATTGTACGCTGCTTTTGCCTGTTGAACTTCTCTCTCCGTTTCAACGATTTTTGTTTTGAGATTTCTCAGCTTGGCATTGTAGTTAGCACGAGTCTCATAATATGGCCTTAAGCAAGAAAGAAAAGTAATAAAAGTTCTCGTAATTTTACAATCATTTTAATAACTTTTGACATTTATGTAAAGAAAGCATAAATCATTAAATGTACTTACAAAATAAAAGAAATCAAATCAAACGTAGAAACTAAAAATTAATTCAAACAATTTTAAAATTTAAATATAAATTAGTGAAGTAGTTTCTCACCTTGATGCTTTTATGAAGCTTTTGAGTTGGGTTTGTAATTTACTTGACTGGAGATTTGTCATTTCGCACTTAAGCTCAGTGACTCTTAATCGATTTTGCATTCTGAAAAATTATTGCATTCATCGTAATTATATTAAGATTGTATCTCTAATGGATTTTAAATGACTTTTACCTATTGCATTCGTCAGTGTATTGATTAACTCGACTCGTAGCATGGCTTATCATTTCTTGAAGCGCAATATCCAAACCACAAGCTTCTTGCGCATTCTACAAAAATTTTTTTTGAATCATAAATCATTCGAAACTTCCCAAATTTCAATTTTTTTTTCTTTACTTGTGTAACACTCTGTTCTGCCAGATACACCATTTCTTTGGCAGCAGCAAGATTCGTTTTGGCTCGCTCATGATTCGCTTGATCTGTTTTCAACTCTTTCAACAACTCACTTGTTTGTCTTCGAGATTCATAAAATGGTTTAGCCAAATCGATTGCATTTTTTATTTTATTGCTTATCAATTTGATTTCTGCCTGACTAGTTTTTTGCAATTCCGAATAGGTCCGTTTTAGCTCGTCTGCAAATTGATTTTTTTTGTTGTGGGTGGAGAAGTCAATAAACAATAAAGTGTCATTTTTCTTCTTACCGAGATTTACTTCTAAATTATTTATTTTCTCGCACGAGTTATTCAATTTCTCCAACTCTAAACCTACCCTCGGATCAACAGACATCGTGAATAATAAAAATTTATATTAAAATGTAACTTAACAAGCACAAAACTATTTTCATTTGCTTTATGTTTACAACTAAAAATAGAATTGTGTAACACAATTTGCAAGAAAATGGGTGACTAGATTTATGTTTGAAAAATTTTCAATTTTCCCTTTTTCATGTTTGAAAATTAAAAAATATTTTAACGAAATTCAAATTATAAAAGAAGCATATTGATTTAATCAAGCACAAAACACAAAATCATTTCGTATTTATGTTTATTAATGTTTTAATGTTGCATTAGTCACCCCGGAAAATTTATCAAAGACACAAACCAGAAAGATTGAAAATGAAATTAATTCACAATAAATATCAATGAAATGTGTAAACATCTAAAAATTGTCACTAAATCCTTTCATGATTGTAAAATATCGTCCTGTAAATGAAAACTTTATCTTTTCTTTCCTACATATAGTATATAATCAAAGTCACTTCTGTTAAACTTATCCCTTTGAATGTTGTTTATTCAAAAAGTTTTCATTTAAATTTTCCACACATTATGAGAAAAAGGAAATGTAGAGCAGATTTATCTTTTGCCTCCAACGCGAGGTGCTGCTTTTTGCTGCTTTTGGGTAGGCTTTGACTTTTGTTTGGATGGTGCAACTTTTGCTTTCTTGTCAGCGGTCTTTGCCTTCTTTTGCTCCTTAGCAGCTCTAAAAATTGATTTTTTTTTATTTATTCACAATATTCATAGAGAAACACAAAATCCTACTTGATGGCTTGTTCACGTTGAGCTTTTCGAACCTCAGGTTTCATGTTACGCTTAGCCATGATGTCAGCCATAGTAGCACCAACAATTGCTCGTGCATGTTTCACTGTTCGTCGTGTACGTTTCTTGGTTTGTTCTTCTTCAATACCCTTCTTATGCTTACGACGGTAGAGAACAGTCCACTTCACTTTTCGTGGATTTCTCTTCATGAGGAAAGATCTCTCGCACTTCTTGTTGATGAAAGTGAAGGTCTACAAAAAAATCCATTAATATATGATGAAATCAGATTGGACAACTCACTCACCTTGCCATCTGATTTAACTAAAGTTTTTCCCATTCCGGGATAAATCTTATATCCGCTGAATACGCATAAACCGATCCTAGAATATAATTAAGAAATAAAACTTTAGATTTGCTTGGATTATATAAAAATAACACTCACTTCATTTTGAATTTCTTTTGGTTTTAAATTCTGAAAGAAACAAACAAAAATCGCAGGTTAGAAATATGTTTTCCTTCATTATTTTATGTATATCTGGCAACAAAGAGTTCTCTTTTATAAGTTTTCTGCAATATTAATCATTTATATAAAATATTAAACTTTTACAAAATCTTAAATTGCTTGGAAATTGCATAAAATAATTAAATTTATTTTTCCACGAGCATACCTCAAAAGAAATGACGGAAAAGAAAGAATCGCATCGCAAACAGTTTAGCGATTCGCAAAGGGGTACAAAGGTTTAACATTACATAAACCGTTATTTTCTCATAAAAGCAACATAAAATGCATAAATTATTGAGAAAGAAACATGAAATACTCAATAAAATTACAATGTTAACTATTAACATATAAATATTTTACAAGTCTACTTAATTTTCATATTTATTGCTTTTATTCTTAAAATATTTAATTTACGAGGTAAGTCACAAAGTTTCTTATACATTTTTTGTAAAGCTTCAATTGCAAATAAAATTTGTCACTTTTTTTTAGTTATAAACTTGTGGTTATGAGAAGGGAAATGTATTAATGTTATGTTTGATGTGTACTCGTATTATTTTATCACTGGCAAGCCTTCATGGAGATCCTAATCGTAAAAATTCATAATAACTTATTTTTATGGTTTTTAAATAACAATTTAAAAGATCCAAACAAACGCTCGAAAAAAAAACCACAAATGCATTTGTGAGAAATGGAGAACGAAAGATAAGCGAAATATCTACCTCTTTTGCATTGTTTTCCTGTTTCACTTGCACTCGCTTATCCCAACGTGCTGTCGTATTAATTATTTTGTAAAGGATCACGGTTTGATGTTTAGTCTTTCAGAATGTATGTTAACGTTGAATTACCTATCTCATATACTCATAAACTAAATATGTCAATTATTTAAACTTATTTAATAGCAGTACTTCAAAAAGAAAAAAATATTAAAAGAAAATTATTTCCTAAGTTATTGAGTCAAGTTTATTGTAGAAGAAATAAAGTAACATGTCTAACTTAATGTTATTCGATTCAAACTTCGAAAAATGTGTATATTAATTACTGTTTCTGATTGTGATTCATTGGATTTTTATTGACATCTTTTATTTAAGAGAATACATTTCAAATGTAGGTATTTATGCTTTGTTCCTTTAAATTATTAAAAATCACTCATGCTATGCATTATGAATATTAATTATTGCACAAACACATTTTTCGTACCTAACATGACTCAAAGATGTTTTCTCTTATTTAATTGTTATGCAATGTTTCCATTGTGATGATTAATTTTTTTTATTTATTTCTATCGGAAAATAAAGAAATTATTAAAATTTGAAAAGAATGACTACAAATTAAATGTTCAAATTGAATGGATGGATTAAAAAAATTGATTTTGAAGATATCAGTAGCAAACCACAGAAACCGCGATTCGTTTCTTAACAACCTTCTACTGTTAATTCCTTTAAGTACTCAACCAGATGGAAACATGAAATTCTTTCATTTTCATTTCTTTAATTTCTTTCTTTAATTTAGTTTTCCCTGATGTAACCATATAGATAATTTTAAGCTTTTTAAAAGGTGTTAGTTGGTATGGTAAATATATGAAATAAATTAAAGTAATAGTCATTTATTGGAGAAGCGTTAGAGTTTAGTGAAATGTTACGCCTGCATCTTAGGAGTTCTAAACTAAGCATAAAATCATCGACATAAATCATTCACATGCATACAATGTTGTGTCATATTTTGGCTTGTCCCGACAATACGAGCGGGCATGTTGTATGAAGTGCAAACATAAAAAAAACTTTACCGAAAGGTAAAATAAATTAAAAATGAACATTAAAGCGACGGCTTTAAGCGTTCACTGATTGATTTAAATGGTGTTAACTTTGTGATGCAGCAAATCTTTTATTAGTCTCTAGATTTCTTGTATCTCATTCGGGTAACCGACAATATATTTGCTACAAGTTGTGGAATCGTTTGTTGATGGCTTATGAATTAGATATTATAAATCTGAACGAGTTTTAGTTTGCAAAAAACAAATGATCGATGGCCGTTCAAAGGAAGCAAATGATTGACTTACGAAAAAAAAACTTTCATTCATGAACTGCTAAGGTTTGATTAATGTTCATTTCATCACCAATACAAATTTCTTGAATGAAATCTTAAACTAATCACACATATCAATGATTTCATATCATACACAAGCCACAAGTCGTGACATTTCATCGAGAATGTCATTTAATACGTTATGCTCAACATTAAGTTACAACAAGAGGATGTGCAACATAAAAAAACATTCTTCATACAATGCACATACAAGAACATATCCGATATTGATGATGATGATGTTCTCCGTGATTAAGTATTTCAAAATCATACGCCAAGTTCATTCAGATGCGAAATTATTTATTGAGTATGTATCGGATAACCTGTTACTTACTTTTCTTTTCTCATTGCATCACATTTGGTGTCTGATTTCATGGTTTCGTTTTCAAAATATATTTTATGAAAGAATTTTTAAAGTTTCTAAGAGAAAATCAAATTAATCATGGCGACATTAAAATTTTCAATTCATTTTAATTTGCCACATAGACATTTAGTATTTATTACTATTTCAGACAGTTCTTAAAATCAGTCGTGCGTTGGGATTAAGATCAAAGATCATTAATGAATAAAAATTGCAAATTGTTTTCCTTCCCTTCCTACCTTTCTTTTCTTGCACCAAACTGTAAAGTGTAATTGCAGTCGATACAATTTTTACTCATAATTTGAATTATATTCCGTCGAATGCATTTCATCTTTTCCGCATTTTATGTGATCAATCGATGGAAATCATTGATGTGTGAAATGCAGTAAGAAACATTATATTGAGAAATAATGAGCTAGTAGCTTTACAAAGATAGGAAAAGTTTTCCTTTCTTGTTCATATCATAATTCATAATTATGTCATTTCACAAGCAAATTATTAAATAAATAATTCTGAAAAAAAAAACTTTGAATGATTTCTTTCAATTTTAATTCTGAAAAAACTTTCAACACAAAAAATTTGTAATTTTAATACGCCGTCATACTTCGTTTTTTATTTTGCAACTAAACAATTATCTTTGAATGAACTAAGTCATAAGTCTAAAAGTATTTAAAAATATTTAACAAAAAATATAAGTAAAAAGTACTTTAATGAGAACATTTAATGAGTTTAGAATTAAGATTAAATAATCGAAATAAATGCTTTAAGCTTCAAGGGCTGTTTGATTTCAAAGTTCTTAAGTAATGAACAATTTTTTAAAGAATTTCTTGGCATTTCTTAAGAGAATTAAACTTAAATAAACCTAATAAGGTCGCCAAACACTTTGATCAGTAGCCTCATGATCAACCACCGAATGTTCCTGATGTTGTTTTATACTTTCATCATCTTGAGCGATCATTGCATTTTCTGTTAATTCTAACCCACTTGACCGATGATTACCAACTGTTGCCACTGTGTTAACTGGAAACGAACTGTTTTCTGTTTGAAGTGCCGCACCTGAACCACCAAGATATTGTTCCACAAGTTTATCACTTCCATGTAAATGCAGATGAATTTGATTTTGATTGACTGTTGAGTAGACTTGAGGATAAAGAACCATTGTAGCTTGTGTTGGTGGTGCCGCAGTTGGCGGATATTGAGACTGTGCGGGTGGTTGACAAGGATATTGATAACTGTTGTATCCATAATTATACTGCTCCATTTCGTTTGACCATGGTGTCAGTGGTGTGAATTGACTACCATTATAACTTGTTGGATTTTGTGTTGACGATCCACAATGATAATCAGAAGTGTAAGGAAGGCTTTCGTTGGGTAAAACTGACGGCAACATACTTGTTTGTTCATACGAATGTTGAAAAGGAGAATATGCTGAAGCAACAGCCGGTGACGAATATCCAGTCCATTCGGCCGCACCCATCAAATTATTTTCTGTGAAATTAAATAAAACAAAGTTATTGATTTTTTTTGCAGCTATATAATTTCGAACACTTTACATATATTTACATTGTCAATGGTAAATTATTGCATCGGTAATAATAATTTAATTTTAACATCATAATTTAATTTTTTCGTAAGACGATTCAACTAATAAGATACAAATTTATTTTCAATCAGATTTTGATACATATTTTAAAGTTGTTTCTTCAAGAATATTTCGTAATCATTCACTTTCTTTCCCTTAAATTTCAAAAAATTAGCACTTCCTTTTAAAGAAACCATTCAACGTTTCTGCCTATTATTTATCCATCATCATTAACAAGAAGATCCTTAACTTTTATCAAGAAAAAACATTTGAAACACTTTGTCGGAGTTTTAATTCAGAGAGAAGCTTGTGCTGTTTTCAAGCCCATTAACGAGAATGATAATCTCGCGTGTGAGGTCTACGATATCAATATTAGTTATAACGATTTAATCAGCCAAACGGCGACGATTTTCTAGTCGTAAATATTTTGTCACGTTTAGTGAAAAGAGTTTAAAAAATTTACATATGCTTAAAGTATTATTGGTTCCCATTCCCACCAATTAATCGTTTCAAAGAATCACGTCTCAATAGAAACTATTTAGAATTTTATGACATTCTACCGAAAGCATTCCAATGAGAATTGCTTAGATTCAATAGTCGCAAATTTTAAAGCTTTCTTCGGTATCAACAAATCAGGATGATGAAGTTAAAAGATGATTCAGAAGAACTTTAATTCTGTAGTTTAATTTTTTCCTGCATCTTCAAACATTTTTTGGTGTTTTCAGTTGTTGTAACTTACTTCAGTCATTGATATTATACTTTAAATAATGTAACTGATACATTTTTTTACAATCATCCAAGCATAAAATATTTTATTTACTTTACAGAAGAGTTAATTCAATTTAGATAAAAAAGTAAATATGTATCAAGTGTACAGAATATTGAAACCTTTATTGAATCACGAATAATTCTTTTAAAATTCACGTTTTCCTTATAAAATTTCGTATGCTTTAAAAGTAAGAATATCCGATTATAATTCACAAATATCCAATCAAATGATGCACATTAATAATTAGAGAAAATTATTTTTAATGAACATTATCCGTAAATCTTGTTCCCAATAAGTGAACTTTAAAAGTTCATTTGTCTGCTCCCATGTTAAAAATCCAAAATGTTTTCTTTTTACTCAAAAATATAAAAATCATCGCAATTTACCAAAAATATAAAAGAATATATGAAATAATTTAAATTCAATCGATTTTGATGTAGGAATTTTTCATTCATTTGAAATTGAAATAAAGGAAGGAAGAATGAGAAAAAAAAAGAAGCGAATCATTACATGTGCAATAGCGCATTAATCGCACCATGAAGGTATCAAGAAGGAGAAAGAAGAGAAAAAGAAGCGAAATTAGTTTTCGATGAAAGAAAATTGGAGTCGTGTGAAGGATGCCGGGTGCACGCAGGTAGCCGACCACGATGGGCTTAAGACACACCAGCAATTTCAAAACCAACCTTTTAACCCAAATTACCGAACGATGCTTGATAAATGATCTCAATGCTTCACTTTACTCTTTTATTTACCTTGAATTTGTGGTGCATTCGGTTTATAGCCGCATTCTACTCCAGGAACATTCGAATTTGAAGTTTGATTTGACGATAAATTGTTGTTTAATTGTGATAAAGATTTCCTTCTAAACGGTTCCAAATCTCGTAGATAAGGTGTTTCTAGTAGACGTTGATTAAGACTAAATGTTCGAAGTTGATGACTTCCAGGCGACGGTGCTGTAAATAAAAGAGACAAAAAATATTGTCAAAAAAATCCATACTCCATAGTGATCATTTGAAAAGACTTTAAATATATGTACATAAATGATGACTCTGTTGCTAAATATGTAGACTAGGCAATCGAATCTAGTTGTTCTGTCAGATTAACAGGAAATTGGACTTGGCACAACCGAATAATTTGTTCTATGTTTCCTTTTTGTAATCTAATTGCGAAAATTGATTGTTGAGGCTTCAACTCAATGGTTTCATTCAAAAATGTTTATGTTTCTACGCAAATTTATTTCATTTAATTCATAGTAAAGATTGCGGTAGAACTTTGTTTTTTATTTCTTCTAAGAGTTTTCATATTTTTCATTTCATACTTAAAATGTTTCTAGAAAGAAATTTCTAAAAAAAATCTCACATTTTCATATTCTTATCATAAAAAATTATGAACTGGGAAAAAATCTTTCAAAGATAAAACTCCACGTTCATTTCTTATGGGAAAATTGATAAAGTCAGAATTATAAAAATATAGAAAACGTTAACAAGTCGCAATCTGAGAATTATTTGTGATGCAATCAGCAGCAGTTCTAAACATTAAAAACATAAACATCCCAACAATTTGCAGTTTTGCTGTAATTTGAGGATAAATGATTGGAACTAACGCTTGAATGTTCATCTTTCAACCCTTGTATCTAAATGCATGTTTGTGTATTATGTGTAATTTCCCTATGATGATTCAAATTCCCTTGCGATAAGGACATCAAAAATAAAAGGTCATTTGACATCAAATTGAAGTTGAAAATGTGCAAAATGCATATTTACACATCTCGAAATGCAGAGAGAAAGCATTAAAAAAGAAATCATGATTTCAGGTTATTTAATGCACCGGGAAATTGGACAATCTAATGCAGAAGAAAGCATCGAAAATTTCAGTTGGAATGAGTGTTTGTTTAGGTTTACAATGAGTTTCTGTCGAAAGCAGATAACAAACATGTTGCTTGCTTACTTACTCTTCATTTTAATCGGAAAATTCAAAATGAAAACGTCATAAAGACTAAATGAAAATCTATTTATGTCTGTTACAATTTTTGTTGACTTTTAATCAAAACGACGACGCGGTGGAAATTTCAATTGAATGACGAGTGTTTTGGTCACTTGAAAAGTCAATTATCCTATCTGTTGTCAAATGCTTAACAAGTATTTTCTAATATATGAACAATTGAAAAAAGAAGCCAATTAGACCGTACATTCTAACTAATAACAGATGTTGATAATTTCTCAAGAAGCATTCGATTGCGTGAGAAAAATATTATAAAACATGATCTAAGCTCTTTAAAAATAAAAATTATTTGCTAATGATTAATTTGCCCAATTTTATTTACGTCACATGGTCAATGTGGCTTTTGAGAAAAAAGAGAAGAAATATTTCTAATGCAAATAATGAGTTGTAAAAAAATAAAGTAAAGAAAGAACTTACAATTCTTACTTCTTGGTTCTCTGGGGCCATCGACAGTCACTTTAATTGCTTTTGTATAAGTTGTCACTTGAGGAGGTGATGTTGATACTGTTATAGTTAATGTGAAGCTTTTGCCTATGAAAAGAAAAAGATGAAAGTTGCGTTATTCAATTGAATTTTGAATGATTTGCAGTTGTATCTAATTTTAATTTAGCTTAGTGAGCATTTTTAACAAAGAAGTAAAGAGAAGTCATTTAAAGGTCCAAAAGTATTTTTATTTATCTCATTTTATCTTGAATAAGTTCAAGTGTTCAACATTAATATAATGAGACAAAGATATGTCAAAAGGTTGAAAAATGTAATGAACACTATAAAGTGAAACGAAACTCACGAGATGTGAGAGCATCCAATAAATTGTGCGGCATTGAAATCACTTCAATGTTCAGAGAATTGAAAAATTAGTAGAAATTTTTCATATCATGAAAAATATAAAAAACACTTTTCAAGACGCTTTGAACTCTAGTTTGTATTTATTCGGGCTGTATGAAACGTTTTGTCTTTTTTATGGAGAATTAATCTTGTTTTGATGTTGAAGCGTTCGAGAAAAAAAAAGAAGTTTAAACTCAAAGGGAAATAAATTTGGGTCTCTTTTGACGTTTTGTTCGTTAAAAGTCGAAATAAGTCCAAACATGAAGAAAAACTTTTCTCTCTCATTCTTTTGATTTAAATGATAGAAAAGGTCATTAAAACTTATCATTATGAATCACAACAAAAGAGTTGAACATAAAACAAAGATGATGAATGTTTTAGAGAATTAAAAAAAAACAGGTCACGTGTGTCCTTTGTAATGCGATCTGAATAGATATTTAAAAAAATTGCTTTTATGAAATTGAAAGGGTTCAAGATTCGTTAAGTATCAATAATCACAACTTTGCTAAAATAAAAATTAAATGACATTTTTTGTGTTTCATTTTTATGTTCGTCATGATTATTCAAAGGAATTTCACAAAAATATTTTAGGAATTAAATTATTGATGAAAAGTTCTTCAAATATCAGATATCTAGATTCTAGAAATCTTATTCAAGTCTATTTAAACTTCATCAATATTCACATTGAAATAATTAATCTTCATGAATATTTTTCTTCTCGCAAAATTCACCTTCCGACGGCTTAATGTGAAACTATCTTGTTAACTCATTTTATCACAGCATAAATAGTTTAAATAAATTTACTGACCTCGTCCTGAACGACCAACAAATCGTAGATCGTTAAATTTTGCCACTTGATTTTTCATTGGTGCTGTTGAGTTACGCAATTCACCATGATAATTTTCATCATTTCCAGCTCTAACTGACACTAAAGTTCCATCAACAATGTCACCTAATGCAACAACTTTAAAAGCTACAGGAAGCGTTTTATTTGAACGCCAATGCGTTGGTAAAGCAGAACATAAGAAATAAGGACTTCCAGTACGAACAAGTTCATTAGGAAATTCTTCTTGAGCCCGTACAACCATTCGCTCTGTCCACCAATATTCGTTGGTATTGGCATTTTGAGATTTCGGCGGTGAAGTGCTGCTACTATTAGTGGTGTTAGAGTTGTCTTCAACTAGCATTTTATTATTCCAATCACTTTTGATAACTTTCGGCTCTGCCGTATATGGCAGATGCATTCGAAAAGAATTTTTTGGCGCTATTTTGATTTTAATAGTTGAACTTGATTACTGATAAAACTAAACTCTAACGTTGATATTCCATTGATAATTTCACTTATTGCCTGTTTTAATGTTTTTTATAAACACGATCATATATCGAAATTATGCTTCAAGTTCTATTTTTTATTCACTGGCATTTAAATCAGTTTTATTTTTCTTATGCAAATAAGCCTATTGGTATTTCCGAGGTTGTTTATCTATTCAACGCAAATTTTTTGTTTTATAAAACTTAGCTTTTTTCTTATAATTCTTTTAATTTGTAAACTTGATACGTTTTTGCAAAAACTAAAATAAAATTTGTTTTAATTTCTTTCTAATTTTCTTTTTCTGAGTTTGAGAAAAAAAATGTTTAAGACTTTAGAATCACACAAAACCGCACCAACCACGAGAGCAAGCAAAGAATGAATGAATGAAACTTCAATTCAGAAAACTTTCAGAGCTCTCCGTATGCTTTTTGTGTATACAGCACGTAGTCAACACTAACACAGACTAGACGACGGGAGGGGAATTTCCAGAGAGACGAAGAGAAGAAAAGAAAGAAATTACGCGATCATTAGTATCGCAGCTTTTCTTTGAACTGTAGCTTAGGAAGTTTTACTCGAGAAAGATTAATGAAGTGCATAAATTTTAAGCAATTTTATAGGCATATCTTTCGTAAAACTCTCATTACAACTACTCATTCTCTTGTTAAATAAAATGATAGAATTCCGACAGCAAAACTGTGCTTTTAACAAGTGAAATATCTATAGCTTAAGATTATTTTATTTCACACATGATTGATTTTTCTTTATTTCATGTGCAACAGAAAAAGTGCGGAAAACATGAAATGCATTGAATGAAATTATTTTAATCATAAGCAAATTGCTTCAGTCGAAGTGAAATATTAAATTAAATTCGAAGCAGAAGCGATTCTTGCAATTTGAGATTATGAATGGTCTTTGAACTCGTTTCCTGACTTTTCAACAATTGACATTGGCCATTTAGAGGGAAGCAGCAGCATTTTTTATTTAACTTACTTTATTGAGTAGCCAGCATGACTCCAAAAAGTTAGAAACGAAAGCTTTGTGTCGATTACAGATACATAAAAAATATTTTTAAAACTTCCTACTAAAAATAAACGAATTCGGACTTTCTGCTCGTCAAAACATAAAAAAGAACTCGCGTAACAACATCAAAAAGATTTAAAATGAATCGGAAGAAAAACATTCGATATCTGATTGTGGTTAATGTTAAATCGACTATGATTTTCATTTCTAGATATTTTTGGTCAGAATTAAATTCTGTAAAAAAGTAATTCATTCAATATGTTGTAAATTTTAGTATCTAATTTATTTTAAAATTTGTCTTCTACAACATTTGCTTATAAAGTTTAAAATTAATGCTTATCAACTCAACTTTAAATTATAATATTTGGAAATTTTATTTCCTTTTAAAGATTTGACGAAGAAAATGAAAATAAAACACAATGTGTCAATCATATGCTCTTGTTTCAAATAAAACATCAAATGCAGTGTGTAATGACAGTGTCTGTTGCAATTTTAGACACTAAATTCACATCAATAGAAGCATGCTTTTGTGTTGAAGGTTCTTATTTACTTCTATTGACTGTTGCATGTTGTTCCTTTTGTTACATTATTCCCAACACGCATGCAATCGGCTTTTTTTTTGTAAATTGACTTCTACAACTCCTAAATATTACCATCTGTTGAATGTTACATTTTCACTTCATTATTTATTGATAACAAATTTCAAACTATAATGAGCCTTGTACAAATTAAATGGTGCGATGGATCATAATATTTTGATTGGAAGCGATTGTGTGAAGCATGAAAAGGAACTGGATGACGTTTTACTGTTTTTAATGACAGCTTATTGTGTGAAAAAGGAAGAATAAAGTGAAAAAGATTATGAGATTACAGACCTGTGCCGATCCTTCAAATTTAACTTAATTTTTTTTTGCCTTGAAGGGAACATGAAAGTAAAAATCAATGTTCGAATTAATAAAAAAAATTCATTACCAAAACCTCAGTCTATGAAGTTTTGTTTGCATTTATATGCGACGTTTCACTTGTTCCCACAACTCTACATTTTTTCCCACGATTTGTTTTATCGCTCTCGTTCGTTTATCACTAATAAACATTGTAACAAAACACTAGAAAGTTGAATTATGATAAAAACAAAAAATTTGATTAAATATTAAATGACTAATTGGTACATAAATGAACTTAGTTAAGCTTCGTTTCAAAGAGATTGTTAAATAATAAACTTCGAAAAGAGATTCATGAACAGTAATTTCAGGGAACATCAACATTCATAAGACTTCAAAACATGATACATGGTTACATGCATCCGTTATTGATTCTTTTCATTAAATCATCCAGTTTAACTTCAATATTATTTTTCAATCGCTTGTGAATAAATTTCAAGAATGAGATTTATGTGATGGATTTTCGCTTTGCAAAACAACACTGATTCTTGTACATTTCTGTCATGATGCTTCATTTCTTGAAAGTGACAAGAAAAAAAAGTTGATTAAATAAGAATGCAACAAACTTTTTATATGCAGCATTCAAATGCGTTTCATCTCGACAAAGCATGATGCTGATTTTTTTCAAAGCGCGTCTGGATATTGTGATCATAAAAATGTTGCGGTTGAGCGCGAAAAATCATAAACTCTTTTTTCTTTTCTCTTAGTTTCATTCTCTGTTTCATTCATAAAATTTGCAATCAATATACCATTTTTATGTCGATGGTTTTCTGGTGCGCAATGATATGCTATGTCTTGAAACCTGACCACAATTATTTCAAAAATGGCGGTTAGTCTCTCTCGTTGTGCACTATTTGAAGGCGTTGGCAGACATAATGAGAAAAATCGTAACAATTTCTATTTGATAACGATTCAGCAGACTAAAAGCTTTATCTACCTAAAGTGTGGCATAACTTGAAATGCATTGGTTTCTATTAGAACCTACTAGACCCAAACGATGATTTTTCTTTCTTTTTTAGGGAACTAAAATTTTTGAAAGAAAATTGCTGAATTATGAGAATATTTATAAAAAAGTTAATCCATATTTTGCTTGTAGTTTGTTTATGACATCTCTTAATTAATCTCGAAATCATGAATATTAAAATTTTAAGCTACAACAAGTCTCACCCTTTCAAAGCACTTTCAATTTTCTCCCCCTTTTAATTTAACGATTTCATTAGTTGACATTTGAGATCAGGAATGTTTTAAACAGTGTGACATGTTTTGAAGCATGTCAATTAAAAAGAAATAATTCCTTCGATGATGTTTTTCCAATATCAACAGTTCGGCATTTTCAAAAACATTTTTCAGATCCATCTAAAGCAAAACATTCCAAGCATCATTAATCAGCATTTCAGTATCATAAAGCAAAAATATGTCGATAAAATTTGTTCCAATTTCTTTGCTAATTTCTTACAAAATTTTCGGAAAATCTTTGTCAAAGCAGTCTTGACTTTAATAACCTTTTGGAATCTAGACATTTTTCTTTCTATTAAAATTTTCTTAGATCAAAATTTGTAGTATTTGAAGCTTTGTAACGTAAATGTAATTAGTGAGTAAAAATTTCTGAGCATTTTTTTCTGAAACCATTATGAAAGAAGCAGGTAAATATT